ACTACTCTAGTTTTGCTTCGCCTTGGCCTTTCTGAGGTTACGCAAAACCTTCACAACCGATAGGGGACGACCCTATACCGATACCCCATTTGTGATACCTCCGGGAGTACTGAAATCCTCACAACCGATAGGGGACGACCCTAATTTGTGCATGGCATTAAATTTAACATGTGATTTTGTCCGCTACTCATATACATATGTATATATATATATACACATTTGTGTGCGCACAACATTTTTTTAAACATTGATACTGGATTCGACAATAGAACTGAAACATTGATATCTTGAAGACTTTGATCAAGATATGTGCTAGTTGCCAATATATTTACATATCTATGTATAACAGACACGAATAATCATATTTTCGAATATTACATATCATATATATATATATTTATATACATACATATATTTCATACAACATCAAAGTTGATAACAATCAAACACTGATAACCATGAAATTGAGTTAAATTGAGGATCGCCTATTTTCAGACAAACATATGTATATAATTGTATATATATATGTGACTATTATTATTATTATCCCTATGGATTCAGCCGTAGCTTCTCAAGAAGTACTTGGATCCATCCCCAAGTCACCATTTTTATGTGGATCTTAACCATCCACAAATAGTATGGCGGGTTTACCATTTATAAATATATATATATACATATGTCAATATGATTCGTATATATATATATATTTATTTATAAAGCGGTATTTTGCACCCAAGTTATATTCACTCATTATGTGTATATATATATACATTTGTATGTTATATTTGTTATATAGTTTTACTATGTTTTACTATATAACCATTGAGTGAAAACTTTTGACAATGGTTCCATAAAATGATCAGTGCTGATATAACTTCACCCAATCTATATATATATAATGTTACTTAAATCACCAGTGCATTTTTCTTTTCAATGAACAAATGACCAGTGTTCTGATGTAAACACCAGCAACAAAAACACAAGTTTTTTCTTTTTAAATCACATTTTTTTTTAAATAAACTAACAGACACTGGTGCTACCAATACTATGTAAAAAAAAGCACTGGTGTTGATATGCACTTCACCAACACATATTTTTTTTTGATATTTTGTTTTCTGTTGAAGAGATTCACCCGCATCACCACAGTCAGGCACCAGCACCGCTCCCTCAGTCGCCTCCATTTCCATCTTGCGGAGCAAGCCACGCCCTGTGCCACGGCCGAGTGAAGACATTGCGACTGGTGAAAATAGGGTAATCTGGGTAAAACAATGCCATGAACTACCCATTTGGGAATGGTTTATACCACCTATAAAAATGGTGATGACTGGGGGATGGTATATTATTACCCACATTAGCAAAAGATTGAACTGGAAAAAAATAGGGATTTAACCTGATTTAACTTGGAAAAATACGGATTTTATTGGGACAAACAAGGGTTTAAGTCGGAACAATAAGGATTTCACTGGGACAAATAAGGATTTAACTAGGAAGAATATGGGAAGGATTCAAGTGGGAAAAATAAGGATTTAATTGGGAAAGTTCAGGAATTAATGAAGAAACATGAGAATTGTTGCATACTTTTAGCCAGAAAAAAACGGGATTTGAACGAATATCAATACAAAATGGAGACTTCACCAGCCAAAAAAAATGAAACATGCTGCATCTTGATGCAGACCTCCACGGACGATAACCGCCTGCCTGACTGGACCCTGAGGTCGGAAGGAGTACTGCAAGGTTGCATGCATGGCAGACGTAAAGATGCTTGGTTGTATAGGATGGGGAGATGTATAGATGTTAATGTTTTATACTCAATCGTGTGCTAATAGTATGCTCTCCAATGTTTTTCGTTCTTTCTCTCTCTCTCTCTATGTATGCACATATGAGTTTGTTCGAAAATACGATATCCCAAGATCCATTTGTCTGTCGCTATTGTTCGTGTTAAAATGGTTATTTTGGGGAATAAACAATTTCCAAAAACATAGCCATAGTTATGTATATATTAAGCAACCGGCAAAACTATTGTAATATTAGTTTAGTCTTGCTTGGCCTTGGCTGTTCTGAGGTTGCACAAAACCTTCATAACCGATAGGGGGCTACCTTATACCGATACCCCACTTGTGTTACCCGGAGTACTGAAATCCTCACAGCCGATAGGGGATGACCCTAATTTGCGCATGGCATTTAACAAATAATTTTAAGTCGGCTACTTATGTATATATTTAACAAATAATATATATACTAGTGACTCATCCATAGATTTCGCCGCAGATTTGGGAAAAGCTTCAGCCTTCAGCGATTCCCGGAAACTCATAGTAGGCGTTTCCAGATCAGGATCCGGACCACCTTGACACCGATGTAGACAGTTTGATGAACACAAGATTGATACCCTCTGGTAAATTAATATAGCTATTGAGAATGGCCATTTATAGTGGATTTTCCCATTAACAATTGTGATTTTCCATAGCTATGTTAAATTACCAGAGGGTAATAGTTACCCTCTGGTTAACTAACTTTTCTTTCTTTCTGGGTGATAGAAGGAAGCTCAGCTGCTCGCCGGCGTGACACTGACACTTGGAATTCTGATGCAATCTTACATGGGCCTTAGCATGTCTCTGAATCACAGACTTTGCCATAAAAAGAAAAAATGAAACATGACTATGAAAAACCATTATATATTTTTTTTATGGATAAGCCAACTATAAATGGCAATTTTCAATAGCTATGTTAAATTACCAGAGGATGTGTATAATTCATATTGATAGAAACACCCCCAGCAACCATGGTTTAGCAGGGGATGAAACCCAATATTGAATATAAACCCAGTTTAATCATGAACCATCAACAATGATAACATAAGACAGCCATAAAGCAATCCGCAAGACTGATCAATATTACCATAAATATCCATAAATGGGCTGTACAATTTATCCCAAATGGGTAGGTTTATAGCAGTATCCCCTGGGTCTTGGACGGTTGCATCTAAAGTAGGGTTGGTATCAAAAGCGACGGCTGAAAATGTTGAAAATGGTAGAATGGTACCAAGTATGCTTGGTTTATGATAAACCGCAATAAACCATACCAACTCAATACTTGGTTTATGATAACCCATACCAACGAATTGAATCTAAGTAATATGTAACATTTATATACATTTATCTTATATAGATATTTGAGCCACTCTTTGGCGTTTTGTTGAGTCAAATGCATATGCCAAGTGCATTTCCAGGACCATAGACCTCGAAGGAGTGAACATGGAGTCCCAGCGGTGAAAACGTGCCCTGCCGTGCCATGCTTCACAGGGATGAACATGGATGAACATCCATAACTACCAGCTATTTATGTGACAGGGCTACAAGGTAACTTGACCCATCCCCATAGTGGATTCTGATCATGATATATATAATCAATTGGATGTATTGGATTGTACTGTGTCAATTTGTATGCTAAAGGTTGCAGGTGATCGTAGAATTGCAAATCCAAGAAACAATTACAATCCATTGATGAATGTCGATTATCACAGTTATCATGCTTATTCAGATGTTTACGTGAGTTTAGACTTAGACGTATGTTAATTATCCAAGGCAATGACAAGAAAAAGGATACTTGAAAGCAAAGTTGTTGGTTTTTGTTGGGTCAAAGAAATAAATTGCCAAGAGTCACGTGGTAACAAACAATCCGGGTTAAAAGCAAGGCCCTGGCATTAAGTTTACCACATTTCCAATTTCCAGCCTTCAAGGACAGATTCCGCGTTTAGCCTAAGATCACTTGTTTTTCTAGGCAAAACAAACTGGTTGGTCACAAGTAGTTTTGTAATTTACAATTTCACAATGATAAATCACGATACATGAATCATGCCGTTGATTTTGTTACAATGCCTTTCCGTTTTTTGATTTTCGTGAATAAATCCGAACTTGTTTTGGGACCACAAGTTTTCACCGCTTCTCAGTTGAGTTGTGTAGCGTTGTACAGATGCCAAGCTCGCCAAATGAACCGAGCAGCAATTAAGCTATGCTAAACGAGCGCGTCCAAGAACAATGAGTGCTGCTCCAAGCAGAGGCTAAGATAGTTTCCCCAACCAAACAAGACTATGTTAATGTTGGAATATTTATTGTTAAATGCCACATAAGAATATTTATACATAAATCACAGTAGTAACTGGCAATGTTCCACTTCTCAGTGGTGGGACTTTGTATCATTGAAACAAACTCATAGAACATCTTCAGCAAAGCTTTGTCATTACCGCAATATAGGGGAGTTCCTTCGGAGTTCGGTTGACTAGCCACGACCCGTGGCATGACTATCACGTGTTGTTGTGCCATTTTGATTGGAGATGCCTTGTCCTTTGAACCTGCTGGGTGAACAAGAGACCATGTTTTCTGCTAAAGTTTTTTCTTGCTTAATATAAAGAGTAGCTGGCGTTGTGGTAAATCCAATAGTAAGCCAGGCCATAGCTGATTTTAACATTCTAGGTCTTTTTCAAAGCTGAAAAATCGTTGGGATCGCTTTGTTCAGCTTACAACCTACTAGCTGCTAGTAGCAACCTCAAAGACTTTTTCGAGTAAACACATGCTAAAACTATGTCAATTGATTTTGTTTCTTCAGACTTTGAAATGAGATTCTGAAAACCATATTCCTCAGATGTTTCTGGCTTCAGCCTGTTTTTAGATCACAAGTTAAAGGAAAGAAAGTGTGCAGCGGCTTGTGATGAATATCAAACCATCCGATTTCTAGAGGATAGATCATGATTGAGCCAGACCGGCAGCAAGAATTCCAAATTGGAGCCGCTGTCCAACTTCAATCTTTGAACAAATCCACCAGTTCATCATCGTAGCTAAACTAGCCAAGCTCAGTCGGATATATTGGGAACCATAGGAAGCCTCTTTGTGGATCAATCATGGTAAAAACCACATCAAATCCCAAAAACATCATGGCAACCACCGAAAAAAAACAAACAAGTTCTTTTCCCACCTTTTCCTTAGAAAACCTAGGTTTCGTCAACATAGGCAAACCTGAAAAAACATGGTTTTCCAGGGCTTCTGGTAGATTCTCCACCTAAACTGACCGCCATGACCGCGGCCGTCCTCGTTGCCGTCATCGCAGCGTTGCCGGCAGTCCTCGCGCAGCCGGGGCAGATGGGGCCGGAACCATGCAGCACGGAGCCTGCGTGCGTGGAAGCCATGAGCTGCGCCAAGAGGAGGGAACCCTTCTACTGGCGCCTTGGATTTATAGGATACTGTGGATGGTTGGAAGAAATCCTGCACCAGTTGATAGGTGGTTTATATTGGTTTATCCCATTATTTATAAGGGTTTAACAATCCAAAGAGGTGCAGGATTTCTTCCATCCACAGTATGAATATCAGATGATGGGAAATTAGGGAATTAATGGTGATATAACTATACGTAGCTATGGAACATGGAGTATTCATGGGATATGCTATTAGATAATTAATTGGAAACAATTGGGATATGAATGAGGAATTCATGGGAATACAATGGGGATATAATGGGAATATAATGAGAATATAATGAGAATATAAATGGGAATAAACATGGGAATATTATGGGAATATTATGGATCTACAGATAATTAATGGTAAATTATGGGAATACAACTATGTATAGCTATGGAGAACAAAGCATTCATAGCACAGGAGTTGGTAGATGGTGTGTCCCCCTTTATAATCCCATTATAACAATTGGGATAGTCACTTTATATAAACATGCAACCATAAGCAACATTATGTGATCTATTGGTGACTTGGGTTCATAGGATATGCATATAATATATTATGGGAAATGATTGGGATATAATTATGGTGGGAATTCATGGGGGTAATGATTATAAAGATCTATCCTATTAATAATACATAGTTCGGATAATATTGGGGCGGTATCCTATAAGAATCTATCCGATGAATTGGTTATAGTAATAAATCTTTTGAATGGGAAATGTATTCCCGTAGTCCGTAGTATTACTGAATCAATGGATATATCGATAGGGATTTTTAATTTCCCGCAAGATAGTTCATGGGAGATAATGTGAATTAAATTGATCTGGATATCCTACTGTAACAAATATATAATATTCTATTATTCTATTACATATTCCGTGAATATGCCATCCCCTTTAAATTCCCCATGAACTATCAGTGGTGCGAAATAACTACAAATGGGAAATCATGGGGATAACCTTATCATCTTAATTATCCTAATTAGTTCGATGATTATTGTCATTACCTTATTCATTATCTAGATGAATGGGGGTACAATGGGGATATACTCGCGGGTAATTTAACATAACTATGGTAACCATTGGAAGATGGATTACTGTAGTCATAGGATAGTATATTATTTTATGGGAAATAATTTTGATATAACGTTCAAGGTAACAACCTATGATCTATTGGTGCCTTGGATATTCAATAGTGCAGTCTGGATGGGGATATAATGGAAAATGTAACACAGAGTATATTCCAAAGGAAACACTATGATTTAGATGGGCGATTTCACGGCGATATTTTACAGGATATAGCTTTGCATTTTATAGGGATGCAATGGGGGTATAGCTGACCAGCAACCTATGATCTTGGGTGCCTTGACATGATGGGTTTCTGAAAATTGGAGATTTAACCAACATAGGTAACGATATAGTGGGGATAGTGTATTCTATAGGATATACTTGTTTGAATATGCGATGGTACATCATATCGGTGCCCTGGATTATTCATATGATATCCTACAATACATTTTATAATCTATAGAAAACTAGGTTTTTTTTTGGATATACAGTAGTACATTCTATTTGTGCCTTGGGCAGTAGAAAGATGGGTGGACATGTCTATGGGTATATAACGTAGCATCGTATGGGTAGATCCTATGGGATATAGCTTTTAGCTATTCAACACTCTATGATCATTGGGTGCCCCTGGGAGAAAGATGGTATATACTTGGAATATGTGATATTTCATGATATTTCACCAACCATTCTATGGAAAGACAATGGGATACAACTGACGAACAATATGAATTGGATGAGTGCCTTCGAAGAAGGATGGGTTTGGTACTTGATAATCTTGGGAAACCAAAACGCGATTATGAATTAATTGCCATTTGAGAGGATAACTCTCCCATTTTCATACCTGCATTGCGTTGCATTGCAATGCATTATATTACAGCACAGCACATTACACTGAATACATACACAAGTACGTACACATGTACGTACATACATAAGGCACGTGCGTACGTACATGTTTGCGTACGTCCGTGCATACATGCATACAGTAACATGTTGATACATTGATCATATATGCATATATATATATATATGTATATATACATATATGATCATATGTATATATATATATCTATTTATTATTTATTTATTTACAGAAGGGGACACCCTGGGAGTGCGGTTTTTCATTGCATTCTGCAACCACTGACACTGCACATGTGCCATGGTTCTCTCACTGCTTTGCAACCATTGACAATTTCCGCTTGGTTTTTCTGCAATGGCTAAACAAAACCAAAATCCAAGAAACCAAAAAAAAACAAACAAAAAAACAAAATGACAAGACCCAACTCTCTGCCACTACTCCCCCTTGGGGTGTGCAATCTTGTTTTTTTTTCCCCTTGTTTTTTGGGTTTCAGTGTTTTCTGGTTCGTTGTTGGTTTTTTGAAGGGCTAAGGACCTAGACCTAACTCTTTGCCATTTCTCCCACTTTAGGGGGTGCAAACTTGTTTTTGGATGATTTTTTATTTGCTTTGGGCCTGTGGTTCCATTAGAAAACAATGTAAAAAACTATGGCAAAATGCAGGTATCACTGGAGGAAGTTTGGGGGACTTGGGAGACAAATTAGGCAATTTTGTTTGTTTATGTAATCTTTCAAAAACGGTGTTGAACAAATGCAAAATCATAGGCAGCCAATGAATGTGTAGAAGTGATTTTGATATTGACATTCTTGGCTCAAACCCTTGGATTAGCACATGTTCAAACACTTTGAAAGATTCCTTTGAAAAGGAGTGATGCATCTCTTTGAAGTGAGTGCTTCCTTCAACAAGTGCATTTCTTTTATAAAATGGTAGAGCCCGGTAGAGCATCCCATTGAAGTAGGTCATGTGTCAGTCTACTTCTATGTCAAAAATGAACCCTCTTGCACATGCAATGCCCTTTTCACAATATATTTTCTTAAATGAAGAACACATGGTACATGTAAGCACGTAAGATATGTCTTTCACAATTGCACATCATTTTTCTGAATGCATAATGTGATATTCTCCCAAGACAACGCACCATATTTTGGGAATAACACCTTTTGGTGTAGGCAGCTCCCCTCTTGAAAAATATTGTAATTTGAAGAATGTGCATCTTTAAATCTTAAGACAATCAAACATTGTTTGAACATATGGTAGTGCTCACAGTTTCAAACATATTGCACTTTTGAAAGGGATGCCCTATGTCAATAATACTGCATATATCATGCAGAAATATTGACTTTTCTAAAAGGGGTACTGCTCCTTTGAAAGGAGGGTTAGACATCTGGAAATGCACACTGCACTCCTTCAAAGGGGATGGTGCAACTTTTCAAGGAATACGTCATATTCTGTTTGGATATTGTCCCTGCAAAAACACACTGCATTGCCCCAAAGGAAGATTACTCTTATTCAGAAGGATATGTTTGTTTTGAATACTGCATTTGTTGGCAGGTATGGGGATGTTGTAATTATGTTGAAGTCATCTAGCATATTCTGCAGAAATTGTGTTTTGTTGAAAGGACAATGTAGTAGCATTTATCAAAGGTAGAGTGAATACCTGGACACTTCTTCAAGCAATACATGCTCTCTAGTGGACATGAACACAGCTTCATCTGTAGCTTAAGCTTTAATGTGAATACAGTTTTGAAAAACATAAAAAATAAAAAAGTGCACTCCCACAGCGTCCTGCTCTCTTTATTTGTTTATATTATGTTATATTTCGATAGGTGTATATATGTATACATATGTACATATATATATACACATACATGTGTACGTGTGTATTTACATACATATGTACATATATATATATATATGATATTGTATTATATTATATTATTTTATTTTATTTTATAATAATGATACAATAATATACTATTGTACTATAGTATTATATGATAGTCTTTGGGGATAGACCGATACAGCCAGCAGTTCAGGCGGAACGTCTTCGACATCAACCGTTGCCATCTCTCCATGGAGGTCCGCGTGGGCCTCACTGTCTCCATGACGGGACCACTGAGTCGCAACGCGACCACGGAGCAGATCTTGCAGACGCTGAGGAGCGGAGGAAGCGGAGGAAGCGGAGGAAATGGCGAAAGTCAACAAAGGATGGCCAGGGATTGAAGATTTATGTCATCCTTCTTAATGTTCTGTTATAAATAGGAATGTCATGGAAGATCTACTAAGCAGCTAAGAATTGTTTGAATCTTTGTTGCAAAGATTGACAATCTTGGGACATCCCCGTGACCAAAATGGAGGTTTGTTGATGGGAAAATCCATTGCAAAAAGGAGGTGTTAGCCTAGGAAAACCCATCTACAAATGGGGATTTTTCAGCAAACCATGTTGGATTAAGGGTAAATGGAGTGCTGATAAGGGGATCAACTATATGATGAGAACGTTGAGCCATCAACAAAATACCACCTACTTAGGTATGGGTCAAGATAGAGATAACAAGGATAAGAGGGCTATACAAACTGGGTTTAAGAAAGGCCGGTTTCATTGAATGGAAATACCAAGTCGCTGTGCTCGGGTGCTTGGTGCTTCACCCCAATCGAAAGCGGGTTAGTGACGGTTAGTGCACCCGAGGTTCTTCGGTGCAGTTAAGGTGATCGTCCAGATATAACTGGGGTGAAATACCCACTTACTACGTCCTGCGAAGATTCAAGGTAAATGTCCTCGGAGTTGATTCCGCCAAAACGGAGAGCGAGACGAAAACATGTGGATTTCACCTGAGAAGTCGGGATTTTGTGGATTCTGCATAGATGGGGAATGGCAGAAATTGAAAATCATGTTGTTTTCGGAAACTGGATCGGTGGCAGGGCAACCTCATGCAGCATCAAAGATGCTTGGGCTTGGGCCCAACACATCAGAAATTCAACGGATCTGTTGGTTTTTGATGCTGCAGATACTGTAATTGGATTATCTCGGGCTCGGGGAAATCTGCACAAAAATGCTAAACAATTAAGAATAAACTACAGTATCCAAAACAAGAAGCTGTTACTGTTGATATCTTGTGATGTGTATTCTTTTGCATAGTATCGAAGAATGGCCATGATGGTTGAAAGTACCAGGCCAACACGACGTGCTTTGGCGTTTCTGTCCCATTTGTTCTACATCTATATCTCAATGATTCTCAATATGTTCTGGTCAAACCATCAAACCCACTGATTGTTGGTTAAATCCCCATGATTGTTGCTTAAATCCCAACTTTTACTTATTACATCTCAACATGTTTGTTGGTTACATTGGTTAAAGTCCAATTCTGGTCGGTTAAATCCGATTAAATCCAAGTTGTTGTCACTTAAATCAGGTTGCATAAGCCCTTATTCGTGCTTGTTGGTGGTTTCCAGAAGCCATGGCACCATTCAACGCCACGTCCCGTTTGAGAGGAATCTCTCCAGTGCAAAAGGCCAGGTGGATTTCGCTGCTCGGAGATAACAGCCGTAATTAGTGGCTTATGATATTCGTTAATTTAATGGATTATCAATATTGGATACTGGCTATAATTGATTAATCAATGGCTCTATTGACTCTATTGATCATGGCCAGGTGGATTATTGGATACTGGTTCATAATGGGCTATGATTGGTTAATGATAGCTGTTATTAATGATTAATGGCTTAACCACACAAAAAGGATCTACTGGGATTTTGTTCGTGGCTATTCATGGCAAAAAAAACAAGTGAATCGTGGTTTTTCTAATGTCTATTCATAGCTATTAGAATGCATTTTTACTGGTTAATGATGGGCTATTATATAGTAATGAATGGATTGGTCTATCCCACCTTAGCCGAAATTAGGTGATTTTTTACTCAGAAGACATGGGGATGTTCATGGATTTTTTGTTGCTGATTTAGTTTCCCATAGAAATGGTAGTATAAAGGGATACACATATATATATATAATGGGAATATAGTGGGATATAAAGGACGAACTATCAAGGTGAGGCCTCGTTTATGATAGCCTTTGCTGACGCACATGATTTGGTGAACGTTTGGGTTGATTAGGGTGAGATAACGAGCTAGTTAATGGGTTTACAAACAAACTTAAACCTCAGGGGGGCTCACCTTGCACGATATGAAACATCAAAACGTACCCTTGTTGATTGGCGATTAGCAAACTAGTATAATGTTAAATGGCTCATAAAAGGATCATAAAGGTTGATTTATAACTCCGATAACTGTTGGGTTTATAGTAATCGAACATTATCCTGGGGATCATAACCAGCACAAACGTGGATGTGTCCATCCAACTACCTGTAACTACCTGGGGTGTGGGGGAAGTAACTGGATATATTTATTCATCAAACATGGAAAGACAATGGGATTCGACACTCAGAAATGTGGCTTTAACATGCTTTAACCATCAAACATGTGGATAGACCTTGAATATTGAATATGTAGTTATTAATTCTTGAATATGTTATATCTTTGGCTATACTATGAATATGCTAATGAGTTTTTCAATGCAGAGTATCTAAGATTGGCCATGGGATATTGACCAACACAAACGGACAAATATAGCTAATATAACTGGGTCAACTGACCCCTAGTAGTTTAATACAACTGTACAGCTCATTCGCCATGTTGCTTGGGATTTGTACTAGCCAGCTCGATCAATGGCTACAATGCATGGGTATCACTGGGTATCCCCATATATTTACCAAACGTTACCAAAATAGTTCCATATACTCCCTGCACATGGTAAACATCACAATTCGTAGTACCTAATTGATCGTGACAAAAGAAAAAACTTATCCATGTCATATCATAGTGCTCCAAAATACATGCTCAACAGTTGCAGCTGCGTGCAGCCAAAAAAAGAATAACCGAATGCTGGCACTCATAAGTTGTTTTTTCCCCAGGATGTTGAGTGACTTCACAGCTTTATATTTGTATTTCATTGACTTTTCGAGATACCAATAGATGCCCATCCGTTGGCAATCGCAGTCCCATAGATTCCCATAGATTCCCATAGATTCCCTGACACCTCAGGTCAGCATCGGTGTCTCCTTTCCCTACTGCTTAATCTTCTGTGTCATGGATGATGAAAGCTTGCCATGGAAGGTGCGGAAAGATGCGGAAAGCGGAGGCTGTAGAGCTGGGAATATCATCGAAGTAGGTGGAGTTTCCTGCAAGCCATCTTTTGCCAGAGGATGATAACTGTTTGGGAATTCGTTTGGAAGCATGAACCAAAATAGGGTTCACTGAGATGAATTCAGATGTATTCAGATTCTATTACTTTGTATGTTTCCATATTTTTCCCCAATGTGAAATGTACGTGCTGTACGTGCTTTTGTTTGGTCAAACTTGGCAAATTGGAAGTTCCATCAAAGTACTGTATGATCACCCAGTAGAACTCGTACATACGGTAACGACATTTAAATATGTGGAGGGCGGGCCAGACCGCGAGGCCCAGGAGGTAGTATAAAATACCAGTTCGTATATTTAAATTTAGTTACCGTATGTTTAAATGACTTGGATTCCGTATGTTTAAATGGCCGGGCGGGCCAAGGAAAACCTTTCCGGAGGTAGTCTAAAATACCTGTTCGTATATTTTTATTTTTTATTTTTAATCCGTATATTTAAATGTAGTTACCGTAATATATATATATATACATAATTACATATATATATACACTTATAATTACGTGTATATATATAATATATACATGCATTTGTATGTGTATATATAATTATATATATATAATCTATATTTGCTCAAAACTTATGCTAGCGTTGTTTGGTGGGATGGAGCTCTAGTGAGAGGTTTGCTATGGTTTTCTATTGTTTTTGATCCATCAGACGGTCAGCATTTGGATGATTGATTTCCACCAATCCAGACACACTGGATTCGGCATGGCAGGTCGCACTTTGAATCAATGGATCATCATAATGATGGCTACAACCCACACAACCATCACCATCGATCTTGGCATCTATGACTTATTGTTAACGGTCTGAACCATGACTTGACCATTCTTGTCGGTTGGATAGCCAATCACAAGAGGAAGAAGAAAAAGAACACGAACAAGAACAAGCACAAAAAGAAGGGTCGCCGCGACATTATGAGAATTATGAGAGTTGTGTGCATTTTTTTGCTATGTTCAGTGAAGTTTATATAGTGTTATTCTGCTTGGTTTTCGGCATCGTTCCAGGCAGTTGAGCATTACCGCGTCTTTGCTGGTGACTCCGGATACGATAGTTGCTGGGCGGTCAAAGTTTCAAAGGTGCCCAAAGGCGGGCGATGATTACATGTGTGACTTGGAGGGTGCAGTGACTGTGACAATCTACTTGCAAACGAAATTAGATGTGTCAGAGATAAGTTAACATAATTTGTTTGGGTGATTGATACTGGCATCATCACGACGTCACGATGAGTGATGACTCGCTGGTGGGTGTTGGGAGCAAGCCTGAGTCATGTTGAAGTTTGATTCACAATTCACAACACCTGTATATATATATATATATATGCACCAGGCCCTGCCACCCCCCCCTCCCCCCCCCCATATGGGATGGGTCCCATATACTGGTCCCATATGAGATCTTCCCCCTCCCCCCCTGTGGTGTGGTGGGGGTGTGGCACTGTCCCCCTCCCCCCCCTGTGGTGTGGTGGATGGGTCCCATATACTGGTCCCATATGAGATCTTCCCCCTCCCCCCCCTGTGGTGTGGTGGGGGTGTGGCACTGTCCCCCTCCCCCCCCTGTGGTGTGGTGGATGGGTCCCATATACTGGTCCCATATGAGATCTTCCCCCTCCCCCCCCTGTGGTGTGGTGGGTGTGTGGCACTGTCCCCCTCCCCCCCCTGTGGTGTGGTGGGGGTGTGGTATGGTATGGTGGGTATGTATGGTGTGTATGGTCGGTCTGGTATGGCATGTTTGGAAAGTATGGTATGTTTGGTATGTATGGTAGGTATGGTATGTATGGCATGAGTGGTTGGTATTGTATGGATGGTAGGTATGGTATGTAAGTCTGTTGGATATGGTATGTTTGATATGACAGTATGTATGGTCTGTATGGTATGTATGGTTACTATGATGGGTATGGAATATGTCCTATCTAAGGTAGGTATGGTATGTATGGCATGTATGCTTGCTATTGTATGTATGCTATTGTATGTATGGTAGGTGTGGTAATTACATTTCATATGTATGGTATGTATGGTATGTATGATAGATATGATAGGTATGGTATGCATGGCATCATTGACATGTATGGTAGGTACGGTATATGTTCAACAGAGGTAGTGTTGTCAGAGTACACAGGTAGTAAACAGGAAGTAGATACAGTAGATACATAGCACATGTATGTATGACTATAGGTAGCACGTAGGTACTTTGAAGGAGTATGTGTGCTACGTAGGTCGCCTAAAAGGTAGCATGTACCTAGTAAATGCGAGGCTGGTAGTCAGAAATGCTGCAAAGACCTAGCAAATACGACGCTGGACCTCAGAAATGCTGCCAATAGCTTGCAAATAGAAGGGAATTGGGGCTACTACCTGGGGACCCAACCCATGGGGGGGGGGGGGTGGAGAGACGGAGGACGGGACCATATATACAGGTGTGTTTTTAGGGAGATCCCCAAAACCATGGTTTCAATACTAGTAAAATGATCTAATTTGGATGATTTCGGGGTACCCCATTTTAGGAGACCTCCATATCTAGCATATACCCGACACTTATTGGAGTTATAAACTCTTGAGTCGCCCTTGCAGTGCCCACTGTCATTCTGAAAGCTTTCGGGCAAAAAAATGTTGGAGACCAAAACCGGTGCCAGGGCGAGATGGTACCGTGACAATTGAATAGAGGTAGGTTCCATATTAAGTTAATGATAATAAGTTCAAGACAAATAGATTATATATAATTATATAATGCCAACATCGGATTAATCAACCCCCCCCCCCTGGTAGGTCAGTCGGACCTTCTGGCTAGTTTTCTTGACCGCCCCTTAATAATAAGCAACTCTGAACCAAAAAACTTTGGATATGGCTTACGTCAATTAGATCTTAATAGAATTCCATTGGATTTGTTAAAATCTCATGGATCAGAAAGGTGGTTGATTAATCAGGGGCAAACCGTGGTTATTATTAATGGGGGACATGGGCTCATGGGGGGTACCCTTTGGGAGCTATCCAAACTGATGATTTTTATAAAGATTTTAATTAGAAATCGATCATTTGGGGAATAGTTGTTTTTTGAAATGTTCAATGATCAACTTAAACCTTAAGTATAACAATGATGATAAAAAAAGAGGCAAAAAGCAATTGGAAATAAATAGAATTGGAAATAAAATTGTTGAATAAACAAATGGATTTCAGCACAGGGGGTTGATTAATCATGTCCCAGCCAAACGCTTTATTAATCCTGGGGGACCACCTTTTTTTAAATTACAAAAAAAAATTGGGCAGAGGGGGTTGATTAATACCGCGGGGATTATTAATCCTAACTTGGCATTATAGTTAAGTACATAGACATATATATATACTGTATATATACACATACATCTGTAGTGTACATTTATTTATTACACGCATGTAAACACTTTATGTGAACACCCCAATTGTTTTCCAAGGCTCCATGGATGTGATGCTGGGTCCCTCTAGCAGCGACTTCCGTTTGGCTGCCGCGCAAGTGGCGGACGAGTTTCAGAGACCCTTGGTCAGCTGGTCCTTGCCCGAGATCATGGGCATCTCCTTCGTACGCCCTGCGCAATCCACGGCGCCTGGATGGGAGGGTAGATGACCAGTGGTAGAGGTGAATCAATCCCATGAATGTCATGGTTTTTGCACCAAACATAGGGGGCTTTATCCAACAAAAAATTGGGATTTAACCAGCAATACTAGGGATATGACAGATATGACAACTTCAAGAATAGGATTCAACCATCAAAAATGTGGATTTAATACGATGGTTGTACAATAGATATACAATAATGGTATAATTATTGCCCAACAAAAACGGTGTAGTTTGTAGCCATCCAAAAGTGGGTTTCACCAGCTACAGTAAGTCGAAAGCTGAAATGGTGGGTTTCTCTTCAACCAGTCTGATGGGGGCAGTTTTAGATTTTTTCAAGGACACATACAAGGTCCAACAGGATGAGTTTACTACACATCCCAATCGACATTTTCCACTTTGGCAGTTGACCAATAAGCCACTAAGTAAGATACTGTGGCTGTTGTTAGCAGGAGACGCCCAACTCACATTTGTGCGCATCATCTTTGTTCTTCAATGTGATCAGGATGTGTGGCTTTCTGACCAACAAATCACATGAAAGGTCCCATTTTGCGGCAATCAATGAAAATTATCATGAACTTTCTCCGGTGTTTCTCGTTTAAAGTGATTAAAAACCATTGTTTTTTTGCTTGAAATTATCCTTCCCGATTGTTTGTCCGAAATTGACAGGACACCTTTGTCTTTGCCTGGGAAACACAACAAAAAGAACCAAAAATCATTCTGAGTTTCAAGTTCCAATGTCATACCGATGTCCATTAGTAGATATTATCTAATGGATGTATGTATATGTAAATATATATATACCCATTGAATTCCAATGATGTTCCAATTTCTTGAGTATTGTATCCACGTTTTCCCCAGTTAAACCTCCTTTTTGATGGTGAAACATTATATCCCAATGATATTCCAATTATATATCCACAATATTCCCATTATATAGGATGTATACTATAATGCAAATTGATATTCCAATGATATTCCAATTATGTCCATTAAATTCCAATCAGATATCTAGTATTGTATATATGGGTTATTTAAAACCCTACCATGATATTCAGATGCATTCCCATTTAATTCCCATTATATATATATATATCATTGAATTCCCATTAGATTCCCATTAGAGAATTGGATTCCCATGCTATTCCCACTAGATTCCCATTAGGGTATATTCTTTCTATGATATTTTTAGATTCCCATTAGATTCCCATTATATTCCCATTGAGTTCCTATAATATGTTCACTAATTTCCCATTATATTCCCATTTATGAATCATAAATGGGAATATCATGGGAATATCATGGGAATATCATGGGAATATCATGGGAATCTAAATCCCATTTATTATCATGTCTACAATGATCTCCCGTTCAATTCCGCTGACTTTTTGTCAGAAAGGTGCGTTCCACTGGAGCCTGGCTGGGGAATTTGCTGGGGTCGAACTCGGTGATCGAAACCGAGCCTTGGAGAGTGGTGGTTTAGAAAGGGCTTTGGGGATATCAATAATGGTGAATAATGATTGAACATGGCTAGTGGTGAATAATGGTGAATATGTCGGTTTAAAAACCGGGCTTTATTATTGATGGTGAATAATGATTGAACATGGCTATCAATAATGGCTTAAGAATAGCTATGAATAGTTAATAATGGCTATCATGGCTTAACCACCAAGAAGAAGCATTTGTTTTTGGATTTGGAATGGCTATGAATGGCCTCATAATGGGTGAAGAATGGTTAATATGGGCTGTTCATCATGGCTACATGGTTAATATTATAAAACAATGAAACGTGACTGGGGGTCCTCACCTTGTAGCTGTTGTTTGAACAAACCTCTCTCTCTATATATTATATGAATATATGGATATATATATATATACGTATATTATATATATATACACATAATACTATATAAATGTCAAAGATGGTGGTAGAAGTAGTATGGGATTATAAGGTGGTGACGGAAATATTACACCCCAACCCCCTGCAGAGGTCCCCCCAACGAATCCCGACGTATGAAAACCAACAACTGGGCTGTATCCAGTGATGAGATCACCTTTGGGACCTCTTTAAACTTCCATATCATAGTTACAAAGTGGTGCCCCCTCCCAGTTATGTTTACTGCTTTATAAGCCCTATGAACCATAGGTGTCTCGACTATATATCTACCATCCAAGTTATGTCTACTAAGTTTGCGATTCAGAAGGCACCACCTTGAAAAGAGAGCTGTCACCACAGTTATGTAGCCATTACGGAACCAAGGAAATGTATACAGGTGGTGCCAGAATTATAGAACGGAGCCAGGAGTACAAAAGTACGGTAAAATACCGTACCTTTGTACTCCTCCGGGTTCCGATTCCGCGCGGAGTCGGGAAATTTAATTATAGAACGGGGATCCGTTCTATAATTAAATTTCCCCGTTCTATAATTGAATTTCCCCGTTCTATAATTAAATTACTCCTGGCTCCGATCTATAATTTCTGGCACTGACATGATATTTACTGCATATTTGTACATATACAATCTATAAAATGAAGATTTAATGAGGATTTGATGAGGAAATGAAGAAAAAATGCAGATAAAATAAAGATTTGGTGAGGAAACGAGGATAAAATGATGATAAAATGAGGATAAAATGAAGATAAAATGAGGATTTGATGAGGAAATGATGATAAAATAAAGATAAGATGAAAATAAAATGATGATTTAATCAGGATTTATCATGAGGATTTGATGAGAAAATGAGGATAAAATGAAGATAAAATGAGGATTCGATGAGGAACTGATAATAAAACCCGGATAAAATGAGGATAAAATGAGGATTTAATGGGGATTTGATGAGGAAATGAGGATAAAATGAAGATTTAATGAGGATTTAATGAGGATTTGATAAGGAAATGAAGATAAAATGATGATAAAATGAGGATTTGATGAGATAACGAGGATAAAATGAGGATGCTGTAACATGAGGATAATGGGAAATGTGGGAAAAATGCGGGAAAACAGAATTATAGAACAATAGCGCTCCGACAAGAATTATAGAACGACGAGAAAAGCTAGGAGTAAATTCAGATACGTTTTTTTTCTACCTTCCGAGGAAAACAGAAGTATAGAACAGGGTTCGCCCGGTCCGGTCCGGGTCGGGTGCGCGTGTTCGGGTCGGGTCCGGGCCGGTCCGGGTTAAATGAAGATAAAATGAGGATTCGATGAGGAACTGATAATAAAACCCGGATAAAATGAGGATTTAATGGGGATTTGATGAGGAAATGAGGATAAAATGAAGATTTAATGAGGATTTAATGAGGATTTGATAAGGAAATGAAGAAAATGATGATAAAATGAGGATTTGATGAGATAAAGAGGATAAAATGAGGATGCTGTAACATGAGGATAATGGGAAATGTGAGAAAAATGGGGGAAAACATAATTATAGAACAATAGCGCTCCGACAAGAATTATAGAACGACGAGAAAAGCTAGGAGTAAATTCAGATACGTTTTTTTTCTACCTTCCGAGGAAAACAGAATTTAGAACAACAGGGTACGGTAAATAACCGTACCTTCGTACTCCTCAACTTCCGTTCTATAATTCTGTTTTCCCCCATTTTTCCCACATTTACCAGGTGATTTTCTTAGATTTCATGGTGATTTTATAAGATTTCATGGTAATTTTATGGGATTTCATGGTAATTTTATGGGATTTCACGGTGATTTTCTTAGATTTCATGGTGATTTTATAGGATTTCTGGGACCCCGGAAGAGGTTCTATAATTCTATAATTGATTTTTCCGTTCTATAATTAATTTTTCCGTTCGACGGAAAAATTAATTATAGAACGGGGCCCGGGAAACATTAATTATAGAACGAAATTGGGAAATGTGAGAAAAATGGGGGAAAACAGAATTATAGAACAGCAGCGCTCCGACAAGAATTATAGAACGACGAAAAAAATTAGGAGTAAATTCAGATACGTTTTTTTTTCACACCTTCCGAGGAAAACAGAATTATAGAACAACAGGGTACGGTAAATAACCGTACCTTCGTACTCCTCAACTTCCGTTCTATAATTCCGGCACCGACCATACCCATAAAATGGCAATTTATAGAAGGATAATGATGAGTAACCAGTGGAGGACCCTTGGGGGTAGCCTATTTTCAGACAAAGCCCTGCGAGCTCATTCTGGGATGTTTCCCTTACAGACTTGCAGACCAAGTCTACTATGTCAGGTTCTGCCATTTGTTGATCTGGCCAGACCAGCCCCAGAAAAACATACAAAAGTTGTGAAAAGTTACTTGTCATCATGGTTGTTTTCTAACCATCTACTAATCACCTCCTAAATTTAACATGGAACAAGCATGTCCACCACTTTTGTAAAATCATCTAGCCGGGATCCTGATTTTCAGGTTCGAGGTTTCATGTAGGCCTTAGGCTGCGCGCTTTGCCGCTTCTAAGGACAATGTCTTCGGGCGTCTACCTGAAGAACTGCTGTTTACATGTCGCGATTTGGTGGTGCCCAGCAATTACAGCCTGAGGCGCTGCGGGCTGCGGTGTGGGGGGGTTGGTGGAAGAGAAAACAAATTGAGGTATAAAAAGGTGTTCAAGATAGTGATGTTTTGCAAAGCAAAACAGGAGGATATCCCTTTATGTAGTGTTTAGAGATTATAATATATATTAGAGACAGGGATGAAATCGAAGTCCGCAATACTTCCAACATTTTCAACTTTGTGAATTTCCGCTTCTTTACACCCCGGGATTCAGCCCAAAGTTGGTTTCGGGGTGCCATGGATCAGTTTACTCGCCCATTCTTCGCAGCATTTGTTGCAGGGAGAGTTTGCAGGAAAACCCTGTTTGGGCATAAAAAACAATGGTCAATGGTGTCCTTTGTTCTCTTTGTCAAACCCTCAAACCCATCCATTGAACTAGCCGCTAGCTGCAGCAAACAAACTCAATACATGTTGGCACTATAGTTGATGGAGTTCTTTGGAAGTGCTCCGGCTCGGCGATCACTGCAGCACCAGGAAGAAAACTTGGGCAAACTGATGAAACGCAAGGGCATCATGGGGCACAAAACTTGAACCATTCATGTGGATACAAAGATTCAATGGGCAACTTGGAACACAATATCCCAACAATATCCAACAATATGATATTCCAGCATTCCAGCCTTCTAAGCTTCGGCCCACATCTGGGCTGCACTGTTAACAACGGTGAACGACTTGTCCCTATGACGACTTGGTGAATTCCCATTTTGATGGTGACCTGGATCATGGGACCGATGTCCTAATGGTTTGTTGGTTGGATCCTAACTTGGCTCAAAATTCCATAGAATTCCCACATGATATTTTTCTCAAATGTGCTCAACACCTTTATATTTTTCTTGCGCTTCAATCCCATGATTCATGGGGTTTTTTGCCCTCCGGTGTTGGAGCAAGAACCTCGACAAAAAATCGATGCTGCTTAGAGCTCCGGATTTCTTGGTTTTCACCATGTAACGCCTACATTTTTGCTGACTAGACCTCCACAGCTTCCATTTTTGTTAGGACTATGGCTCAGTTCCTGCCCTGTGATGGTCCCTGCGACCTTAGCAGGGACCTGGACGCTGGGCGCAGTTTCGCCCACAAACAACTGGGGAAATAATATGGATGGTTATATATATATGATTATATATGTATATACCCCATTTGTTTGATAATCCAATTTTTGGTTAAATTGGTTACTATGGTGAACATATTATTAATGGAATATAACAAGCATATATTCCATGTTTTTTTGTTAATCCAATTTTTGGTTAAATTGGTTACTATTTGGTTAACATTTGATTAATATTAATGGGATATAACCAAAATATATCCCATTTTATTTTTTAAAATCCCATTTTTGGTTAAGTTGGTTACGATGGTTAACATATTATGAATGGGATATAACCAAAATATATACATTTTTTGCTAATCCCATTCCTGGTTAAATTGGTTGCTATGGTTAACATATTATTAATGGATAATGGGATATAACCAAAATATATCCCACGTTTTTTTGTTAATCCCATTTCTGGCTAAATTGGTTACTATGGTTAACATATTATTAATGGGATATATCCAAAATATATCCCAGTGTTTTGTTAATCCAATTTTTGGCTAATATGCCACTAAACATATGATCATGGGGGTGGAATAATATACATATATATATATCCGAAACAATCCCTTTTTTATACTTATATAAAGTTACAAACAGATGGCATAGACAAAAAGACGTCAATATGCCATCAGAAATGCAAATAACCCACCTCACCAGTTGTTGCACTCAAACAGATGGCATGCCTGAATGCAATTTTCGATGGATAAAGGGTCACACGAAAAAGTTGCAGCTTCCATCCTTTCAATGCGTTTTTTTTGCCGTTTTCTAGTTTTTCCTTTGCTTTAGGGCGCTCCATCCGCGACAACTGCTGATAAAGTTGCAATTTCCATGCTTTTCCCACTGCAGGACAAATTCACTTTAATGATTTCATTGCGCTAAGGGGACCAAGCCCAGTTTCTTTCGTCCATTGCCAAGGTTTCCTGCGGAATTTGTGCATGTCACTACATACAAACAGATGGCACATGGCTTACTTTCTCTGCAATTTTCAAGGTTTTCCTTTGGTTTGGGCGGCTTCTGCCAAATCCTTTCAATGGGTTTCTTTGCCGTTTTCTAGTTTTTCGTTTGCTTTAGGGCGCTCCATCCGCGACAACTGCTGATAACGTTGCAATTTCCATGCTTTTCCCACTGCAGGACAGCCTGACTTTTATGATTTCATTGCGCTAAGGGTACCAAGCCAAGTTTCTTTCGTCCATTGCCAAGGTTTCTTGCGGAATTTGAGCATGTCACTGCATACAAACAGATGGCACATGGCTTATTTTCTCTGCAATTTTCAAGGTTTTCCTTTGCTTTGGGCGGCTTCTGCCAAATCCTTTCAATCGGTTTCTTTGCCGTTTTCTAGTTTTTCATTTGCTTTAGGGCGCTCCATCCGCGACAACTGCTGATAAAGTTGCAATTTCCATGCTTTTCCCACTGCAGCACAGCCTGACTTTTATGATTTCATTGCGCAAAGGGTACCAAACCCAGTTTCTTTCGTCCATTGCCAAGGTTCCCTGCGGAATTTGAGCATGTCACTGCATACAAACAGATGCTTTGCTTTGGGCGGCTTCTGCCAAAATGCTTAAAAAGCTGTAATTTCCATGCTTTTCCCACTGCAGCAAAGCATCACTTTTATGATTTCATTGCGCCCAAGCCCAGTTTCTTTCGTCCATTTCCTGCGGAATTTGAGCATGTCACTACATACAAACAGATGGCACATGGTTTATTTTCTCTGCAATTTTCAAGGTTTTCCTTTGCTTTGGGCGCCTTCTGCCAAACTGCTGAAAAAGTTGCAGTTTCCATCCTGTTTTCTAGTTTTTCCTGTGCTTTGGGGTGCTCCATCCGGGACAACTGCTGATAAAGTTGCAGCTCCCATGCTTTTCCCATTGCAGGACAGCTTTACTTTAATGATTTCATCGCGCTAAGGGGACCAAGCCAAGTTTCTTTCGTCTATTCCCCAGGTTTCCTGCGGAAATTGTGCATGTCACTACATACAAACAGATGGCACATGGCTTATTTCTTCTGCAATTTTCAAAGTTTTCCTTTGCTTTGGGCGGCTTCTGCCAAACTGCTGAAAAAGTTGCAGTTTCCATCGTTTCAATGGGTTTCTTTGCCGATTTCTAGTTTTTCCTTTGCTTTGGGGCGCTCCATCCGGGAAAACTGCTGAACAAGTTGTCATTTCCGCACTGCAGGAAAGTCTCATTTTTATGATTTCATCATGCTAAGGGGACCAAGCCCAGTTTCTTTCGTCCATTGCCAAGGTTTCCTGCGGAATTTGAGCATGTCACTGCATACAAACAGATGGCACATGGCTTATTTTCTCTGCAATTTTCAAGGTGTTCCTTTGCTTTGGGTGGCTTCTGCCCAACTGCTGAAAAAGTTGCAATTTCCATGCTTTTCCCACTGCAGGACAGCCTCACTTTTATGATTTCATTGTGCTAAGGGGACCAAGCCAAGTTTCTTTCGTCCATTGCCAAGGTTTCTTGCGGAATTTGAGCATGTCACTGCATACAAACAGATGGCACATGGCTTATTTTCTCTGCAATTTTCAAGGTTTTCCTTTGCTTGGGGCGGCTTCTGCCAAACTGCTGAAAAAGTTGCAATTTCCATGTTTTTCCCATGCAGGAAAGCCTTATTCTTATGATTTCATTGCGCTAAGGGGACCAAGCCCAGTTTCATTCGTCCATTGCCAAGGTTTCATGCGGAATTTGAGCATGTCACTGCATACGAACAGATGGCACATGGCTTATTTTCTCTTCAGTTTTCAAAGTTTTCCTTTGCTTTGGGCGGCTTCTGCCAAACTGCTGAAAAAGTTGCAGTTTCCATCGTTTCAATGGGTTTCTTTGCCGATTTCTAGTTTTTCCTTTGCTTTGGGGCGCTCCATCCGGGAAAACTGCTGAACAAGTTGTCATTTCCGCACTGCAGGAAAGTCTCATTTTTATGATTTCATCGTGCTAAGGGGACCAAGCCCAGTTTCTTTCGTCCATTGCCCAAAGTTTCCTGCGGAATTTGAGCATGTCACTACATAACAGATGGCGCATTGCTTGTTTTCTGTGCAATTTTAAAGGCGTTCCTTTGCTCCGGGGGGCTTCTGCCAAATTCCTGATAAGTTGCAGTTTCCATCCTTTCAATGGGTTTCTTTGCCGTTTTCGAATTTTCCCTTTGCTTTGGGGCGCTCCATTTGGGAAAACAGCTGATAAAACTGCAGTTTCCAATGCGTTCCTGTACAATATATCTTGGAAAGAGTGCAAACTGTTGAGATCAGATGTTTCCACAGGTATAGATAGCAGGTTTCGACGATTCTCGAGGTATTCGATGTTCATATGCCATCAGTTTGAAACATTGTATATTTATGGGCTAGCACTAAAAATTGATTAACCTGATAATATGGGATATATCCCAATAATCCCTAATCATTCAAACCATATAAAACTGCCATTTACGGTTGGCTATACTGGGGGTGCGGGCCCCACGCATCGTAAATGGGTTGAACCCCCCCAGTTTGATTAACGGAATATCCCCACTTAGATAAATGGGATGAAATATGGGTTATATAATATATGGATTATAAGCCACGGATCTTAAGTGGGATGCACATCCAAGTAGACACAAGATGGATTTCAGATGAGTTTGTTTCAGGGGAATTTATGACATTGGAATCTCATTGGAATGTCATTGGAATGCAAAAAAAAGGTATATTTATAGTATGAAATTCTAGTAGAACACAACCTGGGTTTGTTTTTGTTTGATTGTGGATTTTCCCAATGGAAAATCCACCATTGAAGAATCTATAGTAGGGAGCTTTTTTGGGGGGGACCCCGTAATCCTAAGTATCACCATAGCCTAAGTATCACTAGTCACTCGCCGTTCGCCTTGGGTGTTGAAACAACGCAGCGTTTTCACCGTTGGAGTCGGCGGCTCAGGACTATTGCGCCGTGCCCAGGCAGGAGCTCAGCATCACGGGGCACTGGGATCCCCCCAGCGTCTTGAGGCCGGGGTCCTGGTGTTGGACTGCCACGGAAATTTGGCAAAACATGGGGAGATCATTTGAGGAATAGATGTGACTTTAAGATTTGTGAAAAAAAACAGAGTGAGTATGTAGACATATCTAGACTGAAATAAAAGATATGAAAAATAGAGATCATTTATCGGTTTATCGGTGAACGGAGGGAGCTAAGGAGTAAGGGTATCCATGGGTATCCATATTCCCTAATTTGCATGAAAAGAGCCAGTTGGAGCTAGGAATTTGAGTTTTCCAACCACCTGATAGTGAAGCAACAAAGTTCGAGAAGACAAAACCATGGAAATCTGCAAGTTGGTGCCTTCTCCAAAAACCATTCCCAGATGCTCCATGGAAATATTGACCAACATTTACCCCACACTTTACCTAAAAGATCCCAAATGTAGGTAAACATGCCATAAACGAAGCATATGAGATTGGGGGCCATCGTCCATTACCCCTAAAATCCCACGGAGTTGCGCGGGGGCACATCTCGAGGTTCAGCCAATTCTGATGAATGATGATGATCGATGTTTTTCCCCACCTGCCAGGTGAGGGTTGCTAGATTTTAACAGAGCTCTTCTCCTCCTCCGCCTCCTCCGCCTCCTCACCCGCCGCCTCCTCCTCGCAGTCCAGATCCCAGTCGGCACAGCCAGACCTCCACCGCGAGCTCCAGATCCCAGTGGGCACTGCCGGACCTCAACCGCGAGTTGCAGATCGCAGTGGGCACTGCCGGACCTCAACCGCGACTTCCAGGTCGCAGTGGGCACTGCCGGACCTCAACCGCGAGCTCCAGATCCCAGTGGGCACTGCCGGACCTCAACCGCGAGCTCGAGATCCCACTGGGCACTGCCGGACCTCAACGGCCAGATAGAATGCCAGAAGATATGCCAGATGGAATGTCAGATAGAATGCCAGAAGATATGTCAGATAGAATGCCACAAGATATGCCAGATAGAATGCCAGAAGATATGTCAGATAGAATGCCAGAAGATATGTCAGATAGAATGCCAGAAGATTTGCCAGATAGAATGCCAGAAGATATGCCGGAAGATATGCCAGAACATATGCCAGAAGATATGCCAGATAGAATGCCAGATAGAATGCCAGAAGATATGTCAGATAGAATGCCAGAAGATTTGCCGGGAAGAAAATGTATAAATGTCATGGTGGGGGTCACACGAAGTAAAGTAATTTGGATGTGGAAATGTGGAAATGGAAATTGGGGGAAACCAAATGCTACATTTTAATAGGGAACATGATGATACACATTGATAAATCATTGGATTTAGAGGTATAAGCTATTTTTAGACAATGCAACATATACGAGACACATCAAAGTACAAAAGCATCTCGTTTGCAGGTAGACCCTGACCCTGCCACCGTCCCTGCGTTTCTCGTACCCCATGCCATCGGATAACCATCACGGGGATCCAACCCCACGCGATAAAACAATGCCATTTGCACCATCCCCCAGTCATCACCATTTTTATAGGTGGTATGTTTACCATTCCCAGTCATGGCTGGTTTATTTTCCATTGTCTCAAACCCACATTAAACCATGATATCGTCCATTTGTTGATGGTTAAATCCCTTAAAAATCCATGAAAATCCAAAGAAACCATTATGATCCCATCCGTGACACAACAGCTTAGGTCCGGCGGCTGGGAAAACGGATGTCTTTCCTTCGATTCCAATGGCACCGCCGCCCGGTTGGAGATTGTGATGATCTTCGACACGCTCCTTGGCTTGTGGTCGTTGGGGGGAAACGCTTGGTAGACCCCGCATGGAAACGTAAAAAGGAAGTATTAGCGTGTACTGTATGATGCAAAGTATATTAAAGTTCAAATATAAATATACATATATATATACATATATATATATACTATGGGAGTACATGGTACGGGAGTCCCTTTGGCATCACTTTTCAAGCCCCCAGTTTTGGGCCCCCACCGGCCATGTTTTGTCACACTATCTTCCAGTTGTGCAGTTTGAGAAAATTGGCATGGAAGCTGTCCAGACGGCATGGCTTCTGCAGCTAGCACGGCTCACAGCTCGTCGCAGAAAACACAATTTGACTATATCTATAGCCATGTCGTCTGCCGCCGCTGGTATGGAAAGGGATGCTGCGGAAGGTGCTGCTGTAGCCCATGTGCCCGGGATGGATGACCGTATAGCTGCTTTGAAAGCTGAAAGGCAGGCCTTGAAACGCCAGCTGCAGCAAACCAGTCGAGAAGTCAAGGCCCAGGCTGGTTCAATTTCATCCTTGTGTGCCATGTTTGTGTTGGTGAAGCTGTATTGACATTCCATCGTGCCACTTGCACCTTCATCTTTCCCATCTCAGGTTTTTTTTGGTGAAGCTGCATTGCACCTGCATCGCGCCACTTGTACTTTCAATCTTTTTGTTTCAGCTCTGCGCCAGGAGAAAAAACGACGCAGAGTCTTGAAATCGGCGGGCAAACTGAGCACCCAAGACCTCTCGTGGCTCCTGGCCTTCAAAATGACCCGTCAGCAGTAGCAGCTTCTTCAAAACTATATGTCTCACTGAAGCACTTGTGACTGCTGTCTCCCGAGGAGTCAGCAGCAGCTTCCTCAAAACTATATGTCTCACTGAAGCACTTGAGACTGCTGTCTCTAAAGGAGTCAGACAGGAATGTGGTGAAGCCACACGCGGCAGGTTACCTAACGACTGCTGTCTCCCAAGGCATCAAAAACACGTTTTTGCGTGCTTTGGCACCTGTTTTTGCTGTGGCCCCAAAAAACTACTAAGGATACTTCCAACCATTTTCGCAGACTTTGTATTGGCACGGCAGAGTCACAGCTCATGCACGCATGAAAAACTACTAACCCGTGAAATTGAAATCACAATGGCTTGGACGCAAAACTACTAAGGAATTCTGCCAATTGAAAAGAAATAGAAGAAAGTGTTTCCTTTTTTGTCCATTGAACAATTCCTTAGTAGTTTTGCCACCGAGCCAATACAAAGTTTGAAATTCCCCTTAGTAGTTTTCACACAGAAGCATAGTAGTTTTGCGGCAGAGCCAATATAAAGTTGTGACATCGTGCTTAGTAGTTTCACACCGAAGCATGCTAGTGTTGCAGTGGAGCCAATGCAAAGATTGACATCGCCAACGGCCAGTGAAGCATTTCATCTTGCAGCTGTGATGTGCCACCTGCCGTGACGGCACATGTGTTTCTTCCTAATTCAAAGGGCCTTTCCGGCCACATGTTGGCCCCCCCCTGCACCCCCCGGAATCAAGGTTGACGAAAATGTCTTGCTGTGAAGACCTGACGCTTTGGAAGTTGGCTGCTGCAGTGATTAACACCAGGAAACAACATTGATCCTGGGGGTGCGGGGGGGGAGCCGCTGCTGTGACCCTATACGTGGGGCCTCGTGCTGTGTGTGCAAAAGGTCTGAATTTGGGGTCGCTAACGGACGCTGATTTCAGCCCTCTTCATTGAGGGCCCTCCTTGTGACAACACAAACCTGCATGATGTGGAGAGATAACCAGCAGTGTTTTTCCATAACAGTGTCATAACACAAACCCACATGATTGGACGGCTCATCATCATTGTTCGGTCTTGCCTGCTCCTCACAGGTCGCCTCTCCTCGATGTTTTTCCTGGACGCAGCCATATGAATCAAGTCTTGCCGCGCTGACTGCATGCAACAGCAATATAGTTTTTGTTTTTTGCATGAGCCAGACATGAATTTGTATGCTTTGAAATGCCGAGGCCATGCTTTGGCCGCACTCATTAGGTCATCTTCCCTGCTTCCATTCGAATTCAGCTGTATCAGACAGCATTGGTTTGACATGACACGAATGTTTTCAATGAGTCTGCCGACAGATAGTTTTTCTGCGGTCAGTCATGCAGCCGCCCTGTGGTGTGGCCGAAGGCACATCTGATGCCAGGGTGTCAGACTTGAAGGAAGCCTTGGTGCAGAATGGCAAAGCACTGAAAGCGGCTTATCGGCAGAATGCCGGAAAAGGTTGCACTGTGCCGGCCTTGGAGTGGCAGCCCGCAAAACTGTGGTAGCTGTTTACATGCTGTCGAATTTTAACATGGATTTGACTCTCCGCATGGCTTGTGCTTTGACAACGATATCCCATGGCAGCAATGGGTACCCACGGCAGCGTTGATCCAAGAGATGTTGCTGACAACGCCGCTGCCAGATTTGACCGCTTTGGATGACACAGCTTCACGCAAAGCGCAAGCCTTCCTGGCCGAAGCAGCCACGGAGCAGTGGGTCTATGAGTGCAATACGAATCATTGTCAAGCACCTTCTGCGATGGACACGTTTTTGAAGTGGGAGGAGGCCTTCCATGGCCAGAAGCTGGACATGGGTGTGCCAAACAAACGCATGGTCAATAAGTGGGTGCAGCGCTGGCGGGCTCGGCGGGGCGTCCGCCGGAAGGTGCTGAAGCAAGTTGTTAGCAGAGACCCCGCTGTACTGCGCGACAAGGCGCGGGCCAGCCAACTTACAACATTTTGTCTTCTTTTTTGGGTTGGGTGGCTCCATTTTTGGGGCCGGAATGTGGCCCCAAAAATGGGTCCCCATCATGTTTCATGCCTGTATAAGCCTACTTAATCCCGGTTGGGCGGTCCCATTTTTGGGGCCAGAATCTGGCACCAAAAATAGGCCCCCATTTTCAATCAATTTCTTCCCTCGGAATTATATTTGGGGACCCTATATATAATAAGGCTTTGTCTTTCACTTCCTGCAACGCTCGAGCAGGTCATGACATTTTGGCGGACCATCTGCTATTGCCACAGCAGGTTCGCAGACAGGGAGCTGCTTTTTATAAATCTGGATGAGACTAGCGTCGGCCACACCATGACACCGCCTATTGGATGTGTGGCAAAGCCACGGACAGCAGGTGGCAAACAGCCGCATGCACAGGTGCTGAAGCAACATGTTCGAGGTGCGTGGACTTATGTCAGCGTGATTTGCAACTGCAAGCACATCCAAGGGAAGTTTCCTCATTTTCTCATTGGCACCCAGGTGAAACTCACGAAGAAGCTCTTGCGCGCCCAGCGCGCTTTGCCACAAACTCGTTTGCGTGTTTTGCGGCAAAAGTCCGCTTGGACCTCTGCTGCCAACAGTGCCCAAATCCTCAAAGAGATCGCAGAAGTGCTGAAAAGTTTTCCGTCAAAACAAGGCGTTGTACTCCTTGATTGTGCGCCGGCACACCTGCCACGGCAGGTCATGGCAATGGCACGCAAGTGCAAGCTGCAGCTTGTATATATCCCAGCGCAGACAACGGATTACCTACAGCCGCTTGATCTGCAAGGCTTCTCCCGTTTTAAACAATATTTGAAAAGGAAGCACCAGGAGTTGCGCTCATATTCAGAGCATGGTTTAGTGCCTCCTCTGGCCTGGCTATGGCAGTGCATGCAAGCCCCTCACGAATTTTGGGCAGCTCGGCAATGGCAGAAAAGCTTCGATGCAGTGGGCTGCAATGGCCCAGGTCAAGTGCACAAAGCGCTTCAACACTTGATGGGTGCAGGGGTGCCTTGGCCTGGGCCTGACAGGCCGACACCCCAGCAGATGCAGTGCGTTTGGCCAGCGCGACGCCAAATGGCGCACGCGTATAAGGCTCTTTTTCTTTGATGCTGCCGCTCCGGGTGGATCCAACAGATTTGCAGACGTGGGTGGCACTATAGGACAAAGATTTTTTTTCCATAATACTATGGGGGTACATGGTACGGGAGTCCCTTTGGCATCACTTTTCAAGCCCCCAGTTTTGGGCCCCCACCGGCCATGTTTTGTCACACTATCTTCCAGTTGTGCAGTTTGAGAAAATTGGCATGGAAGCTGTCCAGACGGCATGGCTTCTGCAGCTAGCACGGCTCACAGCTCGTCGCAGAAAACACAATTTGACTATATCTATAGCCATGTCGTCTGCCGCCGCTGGTATGGAAAGGGATGCTGCGGAAGGTGCTGCTGTAGCCCATGTGCCCGGGATGGATGACCGTATAGCTGCTTTGAAAGCTGAAAGGCAGGCCTTGAAACGCCAGCTGCAGCAAACCAGTCGAGAAGTCAAGGCCCAGGCTGGTTCAATTTCATCCTTGTGTGCCATGTTTGTGTTGGTGAAGCTGTATTGACATTCCATCGTGCCACTTGCACCTTCATCTTTCCCATCTCAGGTTTTTTTTGGTGAAGCTGCATTGCACCTGCATCGCACCACTTGTACTTTCAATCTTTTTGTTTCAGCTCTGCGCCAGGAGAAAAAACGACGCAGAGTCCTGAAATCGGCGGGCAAACTGAGCACCCAAGACCTCTCGTGGCTCAGCAGTAGCAGCTTCTTCAAAACTATATGTCTGCACTTGTGACTGCTGTCTCCCGAGGAGTCAGCAGCAGCTTCCTCAAAACTATATGTCTCACTGAAGCACTTGAGACTGCTGTCTCTAAAGGAGTCAGACAGGAATGTGGTGAAGTCACACGCGGCAGGTTACCTAACGACTGCTGTCTCCCAAGGCATCAAAAACACGTTTTTGCGTGCTTTGGCACCTGTTTTTGCTGTGGCCCCAAAAAACTACTAAGGATACTTCCAACCATTTTCGCAGACTTTGTATTGGCACGGCAGAGTCACAGCTCATGCACGCATGAAAAACTACTAACCCGTGAAATTGAAATCACAATGGCTTGGACGCAAAACTACTAAGGAATTCTGCCAATTGAAAAGAAATAGAAGAAAGTGTTTCCTTTTTTGTCCATTGAACAATTCCTTAGTAGTTTTGCCACCGAGCCAATACAAAGTTTGAAATTCCCCTTAGTAGTTTTCACACAGAAGCATAGTAGTTTTGCGGCAGAGCCAATATAAAGTTGTGACATCGTGCTTAGTAGTTTCACACCGAAGCATGCTAGTGTTGCAGTGGAGCCAATGCAAAGATTGACATCGCCAACGGCCAGTGAAGCATTTCATCTTGCAGCTGTGATGTGCCACCTGCCGTGACGGCACATGTGTTTCTTCCTAATTCAAAGGGCCTTTCCGGCCACATGTTGGCCCCCCCCTGCACCCCCCGGAATCAAGGTTGACGAAAATGTCTTGCTGTGAAGACCTGACGCTTTGGAAGCTGGCTGCTGCAGTGATTAACACCAGGAAACAACATTGATCCTGGGGGTGCGGGGGGGGAGCCGCTGCTGTGACCCTATACGTGGGGCCTCGTGCTGTGTGTGTGCAAAAGGTCTGAATTTGGGGTCGCTAACGGACGCTGATTTCAGCCCTCTTCATTGAGGGCCCTCCTTGTATATATTATATAGATTATTCCGTATTACTGTATATGTTAGAATATATTCTACATGTACATGTGAAAATGAACAGCTTGGTCACAACTAACCGAAGATGTTCCTTTGTCCTTGAGTGGGATGCGCATGTTTTTTCAGATAGACAAGCAGCAGCTGGATAACTGGATGCCTAGAATGGGGGTACCCCCAAATCATCCGTTTATAGATGGATTTTCCATAATTGTCCATTAATTATGAACCATTTATATAATTTGGGGGGTACTTCCATTTATAGAACCTCTATCTCTATTAAAGTTATCTCTATCATAACTTATGCCTCATTATTTATGTGTTCATATGTGTTTCCATTTTTATTATTATCATCATTTCTCTCTTTTCTGTTCCTTCTCCACTTTGTTTTCTTCTGTATCTATTCTTCTGATCACTCTTCCCGTCTCAAACTTGGGAACCTCATGGTACCACTCCATGCTTTGAAGATGTTTGAAACCTCCGGCTTTCCTCACGGTTTGTAGCTATGAATTTGCTGCCTGCTCCCTACCCTTTGAGAACAAAAATATTTTTACACATTGAAGTGGCAATGTTACATGATGTTACATGTACAATTGGTTATATGTCACAGTATATCCAACCGTTGTGGTTGTTTTTTTGTTTACCCATTTCGTGACGATTGAATCTCACTTTTGGACAAAGCCATGTGCAAGTTGCATCAAGTTGCAGGGTATCAAAGATGATCTGAAAAACTCACCGCACTTCTCCTGACTTGCCACGACCAGTCACTGTAGGATGCAGTTGAGGTCATACCAATCAGATTTTACCACCAAAGATTGAGATTTAACAATAGAACAATACATGTTATAGAATAATGAATAGAATAATTCCATGGAATAATGAACATCCATTGCGTTTTACCACAAGTCTGCGATTGTCATAGAAGAATACAAGGGGCTGACCATATGATTCTTGCTTTGCTCACGAGATCCCAATCATTGTGTGGTCATATTATGTGTTTGTGCCTGTTGCATTCATTATTACCGCTGGTTACTGGTTCACTTCATGAAAACCTTATTAGTTCGTAATCATTTCAATAGTTGTTCATCATTAAAACTGGTTTTTATTGATGAACCCATATTGACACTTGAACAAAACCCTTGGTTAATTACACCCCATGACTTCTCCAAACATTTTGTTCATGTTAAAGGCCCAAAGCTATGGCCTAGTAACCAGCACTCCCACGGTGCTTCAGGGATCATTCAATGCGTTATTGTTTGAATTTTGAACCTTGTTCCATCCCTCATTATATACATAGTCCCTGTGAAAAATGGTTGGTTATATCAACTCGATCACATATTGCATTTGTTCCCATTGTTGTTCGATAGATATCCTTTTCTTCCTTTCATATCACCATAAAAATCGTAGACTATTAATCTCCATGACCTACAATGTGAATGATGTGGTGCCCCGAAGATAGCGAAGTTGGTTTTTAACTCTACTAACTAGGACTTATGGTAGGTCTATCTATCTATCTATCTATCTATATTTGTATATATATATATCAATACTTAATGGGGTTATAAACCAACAAACATAACTGGGGCACCACATTGAGCCACGTCCCAAACGAATAACCTCGCGTTCACCATCTCTGAAGGCCCCGCGCCATGGTCAACGTGGACTTTTGGGGTGGCAACTCCAAAACAGGCCAGGGCCAAGCGGGAATGCTTCTGATTATTGAGGTTCAAAATTCCATATTGATAGTGATAAGATATGAATATTTTGTAATATTATATATATATATACAGTACATGTTATACATAATATATACTTTAACAGGGAATTTCCCATGAAAAATTGGGATTTCATCAAAAATGGTGGTATAATCCGATCCCTAGATGGCACGGGGTTTGAACTCACAAAATGTTCAGGCATGGTTTTCAAATGTTTGATTTGATAATCGCATCAGCATCTCCAGGATCATTTCAGCATGGGTTGCATGAAAATGAGAGGGTCTGTCGTGAGCAACGGAGTTCATGAAAGTTGGCAGTTCAGGTTGTGACAATTTTGGGGTAAAGTGACCAAATGTCAACATTCGAGTCACTCGATTGACCTGAATGACAGGGTCACTTGATGGGCTGTAATAGGCATGGATGCTAAGCATATTAAATAATATTGAATATACAAAATTACCATGTTTGTCAGGGATTCCAATTTAGGAATATCTTCGGCGCGGCTTGACTGACGATAAAAGTTGGAGAGCAAATCTACGTATCGCTGAGAATCCTCTCCTTCACCCCGTCAGCAAACAATGGGCCCATAGGTAAGTTCCCCTTATACCCATTGTATCTGGAGTCCACCATATTTGGGGTTGATAAAACATGATTGTTGGCAACTTCAACTTTTAAATTGCACGGATCATATAACCTCCAGTGAAATATCAGAACAGCATGAAACTAGTTCGTCGCTGGCTTTCCCCATGTTTTTGTTTCCATATCATTTTGTTGTATGTACCTCAGTCAGATCATCAATAGACTTCTGTACGGGAAACTGCTACCCTCCGGTAATCAGCTCCATGGTTTGCTTGAAAATCCTCATATAGTTTGATGATTTTCCCAGCTACAAACCTCCATTCAGTTCGGAGATTTCTCAGCTATGTTTGAGGACAGTGTGAGGCAATATCCCATTATGATCCACTATGTATACATATATTTATATATGTACACATGCATTCATATATCTGTGGTATGGATATAGAATGCAACCCAGACCCCCCGAATCAACGGGTCACCTCGATGTTTGACCAACGCTTCGGAAAAAATTGTGTGTGTGGTTTGCCAAAGCCAGACGTCGAACTATACATATAGTGTCTCGAAAGGATTTCCTTGCCCTCAGCGCTTGCACTGTTCCATCGCTACCGAGATAATTATCCCCGAGGGTCTGATCTTTTGCACAGCTTGACTTAACCACCATGGAAGCTAGTAGATGCTCTGTGGCTAATAAGGCATTATATCTAGTTGTGCTTGGGGTTACATCACCGTTGTTTAAAGCAAGAGCCTCAAATCGTCCCAGGATTCCAGAAAATTGCTCTCTCACACTCTGGCTTGAGACTATGCCCTTTCTGTTGGTCTAAGCCTTCATGATTTGTTAGTTTATGCCCAAGATTTTCTGGTCAGAAGCACCCATCCCCACGAATATAAACTGCACTTTTCCCGGAGATGTTGAAAGCACTTGGCACCTTGTTTTCCATAGATTGCCCCAATCTATGGTGATGGGATACACCCAAAATGTATCAAGTGTCATAAACCCAAGTAGGATGGATACTGGAAAGTAAAGTTTCATTACACTTTAATTGATCCCGTTTGAAGAACGTGGTGTTGGTTGTTTATGTTGTTTTTTTTCACCAAATTCCACTATTAGAAGCAACATCAAAACACATACAAGGTCCCCAGTTGTGTCTGTTGGTTTATAAACCCATTAATCATTATGGCAGTTATATAATTTTAATCATTTCATATCCCGCATGCGTCCATCAACTTTCTGCAAGTTTCACCGTTTCCTCTCGTAATCCATGGGACCCGGTGCAGTCTGATAGGTCCTCTCCTGGTGTTGGGCTCCCGTCTCTACAGCTCTAGCCCTCCGGGGCCGTTGGTACTGCCCAGTGGCACCCAAGTCATGCTGGATTCCTCCTCAGATGAACGGAGACTGGGAGAAATTTGGGGAACGCCGGTGGGGAATGGGATTTGTCCAATGCTTTCCCTATCTTGGAGATCAGGAATTCTGCATTCTGTGCTTTCTCTATATGCCTTTATTGGATGCTTTCGGAAGATCTTATATCATCAGGCAAACCTGGGATGGGAAGCGATTGAAACATGAAAAATTGGGTGTTCACTGTTCACCATTGTTCACGAGCATCCATGGTTTTAACCATGTTATCCGAAGCATAGTTAACCAACTGTTTGGTGATGGATGGTCTAATTGTGAGGTACTTTTCAGCATTTGCCTGGCCCCCGTTTGCTCTGAAAAGCAGCCTCTTCAGCCATCTGAGTATGGGTCAAAATAAAAGAGAGCAGGACGCTGTGGGAGTGCACTTTTTCATTGTTTTTTTCAAAACTGTAATCACATTAAAGCTTCAGCTACAGATGAAGCTGTGTTCATGTCCACTAGAGAGCATGTATTGCTTGAAGAAGTGTCCAGGTGTTCACTCTGCCTTAGATAAATGCTACTACAGTGTCCCTTCAACAAAACACAATTTCTGCAGAATATGCTAGATTACTTCAACATAATTACAACATCCCCATACCTGCCAACAAATGCAGTATTCAAAACAAACATACCCTTCTGAATAAGAGTAATCTTCCTTTGGGACAATGCCGTGTGTTTTTGCAGGGGCAATATCCAAACACAATATGAAGTATTCCTTGAAAGGTTGCAACATGCCCTTTGAAGGAGTGCAGATGTCTAACCCTCCTTGCAAAGGAGCAGTACCCCTTTTAGAAAAGTCAACATTTCTGCATAATATATGCAGTATTACTGACATAGAGCATCCCTTTCAAAAGTGCAATATGTTTGAAACTGTGAGCACTATTAAAGAATGCTCTTTCGCTTCTTACCGCAGAACAACAGAATATTGTCCTCTATGGCAAAAAGAATATTCCTGTGAAGAAGCAGCATTCTTGGAAAACTGGATTACTTTTGTTTGACATGTGTACTCTTCCCCTTGGTCAGATCAGCCCAGCCTTCATTTAGACAACTCTCACTTAAAGAAATATGTTCAGTACACTCCAACAATAATGTTTTCGTTTCATCAAATATCTCACTCATACCAAGGGGGTGTTGCACAAATTCTACAACATATTATTCTACTCTTTCAAAAGAGTGCTACATGCATACAGTATACCATCTGTTCAAACAATGTTTGATTGTCTTAAGATTTAAAGATGCACATTCTTCAAATTACAGTAGGAGAGCTGCCTACACCAAAGGGTGTTATTCCCAAGATATGGTGCGTTGCCTTGGAAGAATATCACATTATGCATTCAGAAAAATGTGCAATTGTGAAGGACATATGTTACCTGCTTGCATGTACCATGTGTTCGTCAGTTAAGAAAATATATTGTGAAAAGGTCATTTCATGTGCAAGAGGGTTCATTTTTGACATAGAAGCAGACTAAGACATGACCTACTTCAATGGGATGCTCTACCATTTTAAAAGACATGCACTTGTTGAAGGGAGCACTCACTTCAAAGAGATGCATCACTCCTTTTCAAGGGAATCTTTCAAAGTGTTTGAACATGTGTTAACTCAAGGGTTTGAGCCAACAATGTCAATATCAAAATCAGTTCTACACATTCATTGGCTGCCTATGTTTTTGCATTTGCTCAACACAGTTTTTGAAAAATTACATAAACAGGCAAAATTGCCTAATCTGTGTCCCAAGCCCCCCAAGCTTCCTCCAGTGATACCTGCATTTTGCCATGGTGTTTTTACATGGTTTTCGAACCACAGGCCCAAAGCAAACAATAAAATCAACCAAAAGTAAGTTTGCAACCCCTAAAGTGGGAGAACTGGCAAAGAGTGAGGTCTAGGTCCTTCACTTTTGTGTTGTCTTGCCAGCCCTTGAAAAAAAAACAACGAACCAGAAAACAAGAAACCAAGAAACCAAAAAACAATTAAAACAAAACAAGAAACCAGCAAACTAAAAACCAAGAAACCAAAAAAACAAAAAACGAAAACACACAAGATTGCACACCCCAAGGGGGGAGTAGTGGCAGAGAGTTGGGTCTTGTCATTTTTTAGTTTATTATTTTTGTTTTGTTTGTTTCTTGTTGTTTTTTTTTGATTTTGGTTTTGTTTAGCCATTGCAGAAAAAACAATCAACGAACCAGAAAACAAGAAACCAAAAAAAAAATGAAAAATAAAAACAAACAAAAAAAACAAAAAACAAGATTGCACACCCGAAGGGAGAGTAGTGGCAGAGAGTTGGGTCTTGTTTTTTTTTGTTTTTTGTTTTTCTGGTTTCTTGGTTTTTGTTTAGTTTGGTTTTCTTTAGCCATTGCAGAAAAACCAAGCAAAATTTGTCAATGGTTGCGAAGCAGTGGGAGAACCATCGCACATGTGCAGTGTCAGTGGTTGCAGAATGCAGTGAAAAAACCGCAATCCAAGGGTGTCCCCTTCATAAAAGACGTGGGGGACCACAGATCTAAGTAGATTTTTTGATATTACTGTAAGCATCGAATAATTGGGGTACTCAATTTTGACCCATTTGCCATCTATATCTATATCATTCTAATCATCTCAGAATCTCTATGAAATGCCTCGGGATGGGGACGAACAGCCATGCTTTCGGGTCATATCCATTTTCATTTGGCACGTCAGGATTTTACCATCCCGAACGGTCCCGAAGACGTTGTGGGACCATTGCTACCACAAGTCTGACCATAGAACCACAGCTACATATGATATCATATGATCATAGGGGTCATATTCCAACTTATGGGGCTTAACAAAAATCCCATGGTCCCGCAAGAACCAAGGATTGAGTTCAGTATTTGTTTGAAGCAAGACTGCCAACACTTCACTTGCCCAGCTGGTTACAAGCGCACAGCCTTCGGAAGTCTTTGCAACGGCGTGTCCTAGCCGCATTAATGATCCATGATGACGAGCGTATGTTTCAGCCTTGAAACCGCAAGGTTTGGTTGCTCGTAAGGTTGACCAAGGGACCATGTTCTCTTTCTAACAGTACTATTGTATATATAATTACTGTGTATATATATATTATATATAATTATATATATAGTTATATTCTATATATATATATTAATAGAAGTATTCATGTGTATAATATATAACATGTAATAATACATACAAGGTGAGTCCCCCAGTTATAAGTTGGTTTATAGACGCATTCCCTATAATTATATTACCCATAAACCCAAACGTTGACCACGTTATGTGATTCAACTTAGCTATCCCGCTGCTGCCATTCATATACACTAGCCCGCTGCTCAGGTCCAATGTGCCCCTGAAGATCTGCAGAACTGCTGTGCTCTCGACCAGCTCCCACATGTGAACGGTCCATTTTGGAGCAATTCTTTCACCAGCGTTCTGGAGCCCGTTTGCTCCATGGGGCCACGGGGGATGTCAAAAGGTGCGTTCGGAACGGGAATGTAGGCATGAAACATGGGCCTTCAACTGAACTAGAAAGAATGTAGAGGCTTTCAAAATTAAACATGAGAGTTAATCAACAAACATGTCATGTAAGAAGACATCACCATCAAGTTTGGAGATTCAACCAGCTTCAATGGGGATCTGCAGTATTTGTGGAACTTGGACAATGTTTGGAAACGCTGAAAACGGTCGTTTTGTGAGAGTGCTGTCATCTTTGAATTTGGTACACGGCCATCATGTTGCGCAGCAGGTGCCAGACTTCAAACGCCTCAGTTTTTTGAAAAAGCGGTACAGACCTTTAGGCAAAGGTAAAACTTCGTTTTTGACGTTGGTGCATTCAATATTCCGTGAATTTGTAATATTAGCATTCCCTTGCGTAACCCTCTTCACACTATGTGTGTGTTTGTCAATGCAGTCTCGTTCATCACTGTGCTCCTTTTCATATCTCTACACACCTTTTATTAAGTCTCTGCGCTCTTTGCATGGTTTTGCATTTCGGATTGGTCTGGTTGTAGTGCGGTGGTGAATCCATTTTCTTAAGAATGAAAACATATCTATTTATTGGTTACATACCTTTAATATAATATGCCTTTGAAAAACCATCTAATACACCTGAAAACATAATTTAATATATCTTGAGTATACCGTTTCATATAGTATGTGTATACCTTGAATATGTACCGCACACATACAACCATGACATGTTTTTTTCAAAAGAATGGTACATACACCCAAGGGCTCTACTTCCTAGTAATGCATGCTTTTGAATCCGTGGATCAACAGCTGAAGCGCGCAGCTGCTGGGCAAGACTTTTTCGTCTCGCCCTTGAGCCATTTGTGCAATGGCATAGGGTCATCCTTGCGCAGTGGCCATGCTATGTCTGGTGCATGCCACCACATGTCAACTTCTAAGTTTTTAAAATCCAAAGCAGCTGGTGAAGTGCATATGCAATCGCACTCCCCCCCCGCAGCTTGCTTTGGAACTCCAAAAGTTCAGCCATAAAAACATGGCTTTGTAGCCCGGCTCTCAACAGGGCTCGCCCAGCATGTAAATCACTCCTCTTCTTCATCATTCTTATTCTCATCATCAGTCACAAGAGCCCATTCCTCGACCAGTGGGACAAAGGATTTTGGCATCTGTGGACCCGAGCTTGAACTCGAAGTAGAGGAGGTTGCAACGATCCCACGCTGGATTACGCCTCCACAGTCCACGGTTATATCCCACCGTGGGCGCTGCAGAGGTCTTGTTGTGCTGGCTTGTTGGCTCCGAAAGGGGCACCAGCTGCAGTTCAGAGGAACCAGCACTGGAAACAGTTTCACTTCTGCTGGCCAAACACCCATCCAAGTAGAGGTGGCCCACCATCAGACCAGGTTCTTGTTGAGGTCGGTGACAGCGCGGTGTTTCCATTTCATAGTGTCGACCCACATGTACATCCAAATCATCATCCTTTGGATTCTCAGACATAGGCCAAGGGGGTCGGTCGGTGGTTGTGGCTGGGTCCAGCTGAATGCTCAGGTTCATCTTGTCCATGACTTCAGGTAGCATCGTCAGGAAGGTGTAGCCAATCCACTGTGCTTCAGCTCGGACAACAGGATCGTCCCATCGGCCGGAGACGAGGAAGCCCACCCCATCAGCGAGGTTCACATAAAAGGCCTTCGTGACCCTTTCACCAGTCAAGAATTTGGCCTCAGAGCGACGCAGTGCGTGAAATCTCTGTTTTCTCGGTGACCTGGGCACTTTGACCAGGAAGATTTCATTCCCACATTTCGCAACGGACCAAGAGTCCTTTTTTCCAGTGGTGTTTGGCTGGCGGTAACGGTCGTCCATCGCCCATCGCCCATTGCCCACTCTTGCGCAGAGCTTGAGGCAGAATCGCCCATCGCCGAAGCGCACAGCAGCATCATCGGTGGCGCCTTTCGGCGCGCAGCGGCAGGCTTCGCAGCAGCATCGCCCGGCGTCTGCGGCGGGAGTGGCGGCACAGGTTTGGACATCTTTGGGGCCATGGCAGCGAGTCGCACGGCCGGAACTTTGGGGCAGCCCGATGGGCAGTGGTTTTCAGCAACCAACAGTGGCTGCAACAATCTAACATCACCACAAGAGTCACTTTACTGATGGACTCAAGACGATTGTGCGCCATGCCACGACTGGTTTCTGCCACGACATCCCTCAAAATAGGGCCATTTTCAAAATCCCTTTGACTCATAGGTTCGGTGATCCCATTCAATTTTTTCGGGGTTCATCCCAAACCGCCACAAAACTGTTTTCGTTGACATTTGAGGGGCTATTCCTCCAAGTTCATTTTCCCTTGGAGGTTTCCCTTTGGCCGGTTCATCTCCCCTGGCATCTTTTTGCTTTTTTGAGGCCAATGGCTCTTGATGGTTTTTCCACCTCCCTCCCGTCTAGACAGATCTCTTTGGATCGACCTTCGGATGAAGGTGTCGGCTGCCAGTTGGATGCAAGCCATCCAGCGCAGGCAGCAGCGGCAGTAGCACAAGCGATCTGCACGTCAGCCAGCGCAGCCATAGCCACAATCACCTTCACCTTGGTCACCACATCATCAGATCCCTTAGTTTCATCAGGTCCTGAAGTGGCGGTTGTTTTTGAAGACCCTTTGGAGGTTTTTTGAGGTGGATTTTCGGGGTCATATTTGGGGATTGAAGCATCAACATGTAACCCAAGGAAATGCCAGAACTTGATCCAATCTCTCAACAAAGTAATGGGTTTGGTGAGCATGTCAGCAGGTAAATCAACTCCCCTTTGGTGTCTGACTTTCCATGTATTTGGGTCACTTTTCAACAACTCACGCAGGCAAGACGAACGAAGGCGCAAGTGGCGTGTTCTCCACCCACCATCCAGATGCATCAAAATGCTAAGTGGACTTGAGTTATCCCCATAATGACTTTTTTCAAAAAACCCGTCAACACCATCACCTTTAGTGCATGAACCATGGACAACTGTTAAGTAGAGGGCTTCAGCAGACTTCAACATGGTTGTGGCTTCACATTACCCAACCAGCTCAGACTCAGCCGTACTGATGGTGTGAAATGCCTACCGAGATGCCTCCCACTGAATCCGAGATCATGCAGCACATAGAATGATGCCTTGGTGGCTGCGGTCACCTTGAGGAGCGAAGCTGATATATCGGCGAAAGCCTCAATGAGCTTCTCATGCCTTGGTACCTGAAGTGTGCCATGTGCACCGTGGTCCTTGTTGCAGGGGCGGTACAATTAAGAGACAAGTTTCTGGGGTATTGCACAAAAAAAAACATTACATGTTGTCCCAACTGTTGGACCCAGTTTGGTCTTTTAGTGACGGTTCGTCCCATGACACTTACTGCATAGGCTATGTCAGGCCTACTTCTCACAGAAAGCCAAAGCAACTCTCCAGTGATTGCTACGTCACTATCCGTTTTCTGCTGTTGGGATTCATTGAGGTGTTCAAACCCAAACCTTTCAGGTCCATTTCTTGAACGCAACCTTGGTGGACCTGGTGTTTTTTCCAACAACCTGCTCACAGTACGACACGGTGGTCCCCCCACTACAGCTATGACACGTCCCGATGCAGCAAGTCGCCAAAGATAGGCCCAAGTGGCAGCATCATGGACATTCTGACCATCTCGAACATCCAAGGTGATCATGTCAACGTCAGCAGGCCAACCAAGACACCATTCCTTAGATGCTTCACCGGCATACAAGTGGATGTCAATCGCCTTAGCTTGGGCATGTCGACGCCTTTGGGCACGATTCCAGGGCAAGTGAGCCCCTGGAGTTTCAACACCTTGGCCCTTCATGTAATTCCAAATTCTTTTGGGAACATTTGGAAACCGTTGTGACCACCACTCATGAGCACTTTCAGAATTTCAGAAACGGTTTCGGAGGTTTCAGAAGGAATTCTTTTGGCCAGTTCCATGGATTCGATGTCATGAATCAAACCCAGTGCATGTTTTTCGGAAACAACTGGACAACCATTTCGCAACCAACACTGACTGGTTCCTCTTGAGGGGTGTTTGATTTCACATCCATGGGCGCTCCACTTGATGACAAAACCGAGGTCAATCAGTCCCCTAAAGGAACAATGGGTTCAACCGCATGTTCAGTGAGAATGGTCCCCGTCAAAGCATGTTGTTTCAGTTCAACCGACCCATGTGCTAACTCCACTACAACAGGATCAGCATCAGTCAGTTCTTGAGGGGTTCCTCTTCTCAAAGCGTTTGTTTCCCCACCATCCAAAAGACTTGTTGGGCCATTTCACCCTTTTGATTTTGACAGCTTCGGCAACCGGTTTGAGGGCTTTCAAGAGAGTAGCGGCTTCACTCAAAAGCCGAGTAACCCTTTCAGGGGTATCTTCTCCCCCGTTCTCAGTTTCAGGCCCAGTCCTGTAAACAGTTTCGGAACCAAGAGACTTATTCCTCTGCACATCCCCAGTAGTTTTTTCAGGGCTGCTATTCTCCCCCAAACCCTTCCCAGTCCCTTTTCCACTTGGTTTGGACACTTTGGCAACCCTCTTTTTGGTGGAGTCAGACCCTGCAGTTTTCAAAGGACAATCACGCTGGGAATGACCCACAGCAGAACAATTGAAACACCGATTATACTGTGGGGATCCAAAGTGGCATGACCAAAGTGACATTGATCACCTCTTGAACACCCTTTTTCACCCATCCAATACCTACCAGCCTTCTTTTTTGGGTTCGGAGACTTCTGTTCCGATTCATTTTGAAGATTTTGAAGGTTTTGAGGGATCCCTGGAGGTGGTGACACACCCAAAGCAGCCGCTTTCACGGCCGAAGTTGCCTTCACGGGCACGCTCAGAGTCAGCTCTTCAGCTTCAGCTTGCAGATGCTCGGAGTAGCTCAAGATCGTCTCATCTGTTGGCAACTGATCCAAGGTCAACTGCTGGCGGATCATGTTGAGACGATAAGCCACCTGTGGCGATTTTCCACTCAAAACATCAGTACATTTGGTCAGTGCTCCTAGCCTAGCATAACCAAACCATCAGGCAAAGTGACTTGGAGTTCCCTGGCTCTTTGAACAAACTGTCGCCAAGTTCGAATCCAGTCCAAAACTTCATGAACATTGCAACCACATTTTGAATCCGTAATGTTCTGCAACAACTTTGTACGCTCACATGCCCGGCTGAAAGGTGATGCATAACTTGTTCAACACTTGATCAGTACAGCCTGTTTGCGAGCTGAAATCATTTCTTCTTTGATTGGATCAGGAATGGACCCCGAAAGCATAGCTAAAGCTCTTCTTTCCGTTCGGGGCCAAAGTTGAACCCCAGGATCCACTTGTGGGCGAAGCCTGGGCCTTTCAATTGGGCCTACATTCAACCAATCCCTGTAACATTGGTCAACAGCTCCCCTGACCATAGTCCACCAATCCCCCGATGAGTAAGACAAGTCGCCCATGAGAGAATCCATGATGCTAAGCCAATCACCAAATTGCAGAGCAGCAGTGGCATCCATCGACAATTTCGGAAGCTCCACCGTCCTGAGATGTTCAGAAGGATTTTCACCGAATCCACCTGAGTTTTGCAAGTTTCCTGACACAGATGCGGGAAAAGGCGGCAAGGCAGGTGGGATTGGAGGTGTCACACACCCTAACCCACATCCACTATTCAACAATCTTGGAGGAGACGGTGGTGGTGGCCCAGGGGGTGGCTTCGGCACAAACGGTTCAACAACATTTGACACTACTGACACAACTGGTTCGGGTACAACCCTCACATTTGACTCAAGAACCGTTCGGGATTCAACCACATCATGAGATTTGGGCACGCCAGGCTTTTGGAAATCCATTGCAGAAGCATATGAACTCTGTGAACCATACGACCCTTTTTCAGTCCCATGTTTTTCAACCTTGGCTCCCTGGCACTTGTCCCCATATTCAACAAACCTTGGCGAAACTTTTCTTCAGCTTCCCTCAAGCAACGCAATCGGAACAACTCAACTGGATCCATTTCAACATCAACATTTCCCCTTTGTCCCACATGAACTTTTTGGGGTGTTGAGGCATTTGAACCCAGCTGCAAACCCAAGGCACTCACATCGTACCCAGGCCCGAAAGCTTCTCGAACAACTTCACGCTGCTGAGTTTCGCTCCAGAAGGGATTCACATCATGTCCCATTTGTTCTGGAACCACAACAACATTTTCGGAGCCCTGAGGCACCGCGACAACATTTTCGGAGCCCTGAGGCACTTCACCTATACTATGTAAAACCTTTCACAAACCCCGGAACCCTTTATGTTGGAGCCCTGAGGCATGGTTTCACGAACATCAGAACCCTTCCCCGTGGGGCCCTGTGACACATTTTCACAACCACCAGAACCCGACACATTTTTGACAACACCAGAACCCCTCACATTGGAGTCCTGTGACACCTTTTGGACAACACCAGAACCCCTCACACGTGACATCCCGGCCTAGGCCATGAGCTTCTACGGCAACATGTTTCCTGGGTTCTATCCTACCAGACTCAGAGCTAGACCCCTTCCCCTTACCAGTACCATCCCTAGGACTATGTTCATTCACAATCCCCTGCACTGTTCGGTGGTTGACCTAGTCGCCTCATTTGGTGGGTTTCCAGACTGCTGCTCAGGCACCACAACTCTTTTGACACCAGATGTTTTTTTCGACCTTTTGTTTTACTTCGAGGTTTTCAGCACCTTTTGGCTCACCCATTAACATTGGAGGTTCCCCTGGAGAGAAAGAAAACGGTGGGCCCACAGGTCCTAGAGCATCAAGCATCCCCCCCACTTCTATTGGCTTCGGGTTCTGACGCTTTTTGCCCATCCCCATGGTTTCCAGACCCAGCTGCTTCGTCGAGCGCCCGCTGCTTCATATCATAGCGCACTCTGCCGCCACAGCAGCATTCAGAGCAGCAGCTGCACGGCGCTGCACCGATGACTTTCGCCTTGAAGACAACTCCATGTCAGCAGTGATCCTAGCTTGGGCTCATAACCCGTGGATCAACAGCTGAAGCGCGCAGCTGCTAGGCAAGACTTTTTCGTCTCGCCCTTGAGCCATTCGTTCAATGGCATAGGGTCATCCTTGCGCAGTGGCCATGCTATGTCTGGTGCATGCCACCACATGTCAACTTCTAAGTTTTAAAATCCACAGCAGCTGGTGAAGTGCATATACAATCGTAGAATCAAATGGTTCACCTTGTGAAGGACACTTTGCCCGTAGGAATACCATAATCGTTTAAGATGGGTCAAAGGATTCCATGCTGAATGCTGTCCTTCCATAGATTCCTTTACCTCTTTAAAAGAACTTTGCAAGGCTGTAAGTCTCCTTGAAAATATCCTTATATTCGTTTCAAAGTAGTGCTGCACTCCTTTATATAAGGGGACTGTACAAAATGATGCCACTTGATGCAACGAAAAAGAGTTCAAAGTCCATGCTGTAACTTGGTTGCTTATTTGATTTTGAAGCCGTGGCTGTCATGAATTTCTTTCCATGATTTAAAAATATGTTAATTAACTTTCTGGGTGATGAACCAATCTCCATATCCAAAAAACTTTGCAAACTTTGAAAGTGTTTCCGGGATTCAAAATTCGAGATGTTGAAAAAAAGCAAGCAAACAACTTCTTTGATCCAGATCCCACCTGCAGACTTCCTAATCAACACTGAAGGCTTCGGATCCAAAAAGTGTTTCCTCAGAATCTTGAATCAGGAAAAATATACAAAACAAAACCCAAAGAACAAACAGAATCCGTGACTGAAGTCAAAAGTTGTTTTTGAGTTCCTTGAGTTTTTTTGTTGTTTTTGTTTTCCGGACTGGTTAATGAAACAGCTTGTGTCTTTCCGGACAGATCAACAACATGACGGCTAGAAAACTGAAAAGCAGAAAACCTTAGTTTTGTTCTGGGAAAGTGGCTGCCCAAGATCTCTCCTTAGGATTCAGTTTTCATTTTTTGACTTTCTGGCCCAGGATCTCTCCTCAGCATTCAGTTTTTCAGTTCTTCAATGTTTTATCTAGCTTGTTGAGGCAGACATGGGATATTGATCCATGGGATGATGCATTTGTACGGAGTGATTATTGGAGAATGAGTGTGTGTATATATATCTATATCTATATACAGCACGTGTTTATACATATGATACCCCCTTAGAGGCCCCAAAATGACGCCTTTAAAATTACATCTAAACATCTAAAATCCTGTAAATACCCTTGGGTACTTTATGTCAATATACATAGATATGTAAATGTATATTTATTTATATATATATGTATATTTATTTGCATATATACACACACACATATATATATATAGACATACATACATATATATATATAGTGTATATATATATATATGTTTAGATATATATATATATATGTGTGTGTATGTAAATATGTATATATATATGTATTTTTGCCTAGCAACAGCAGCAGGACCTGGCAGTGCCTCCAAAGAATTGGTTGGACAATACCTTGCCACGGCTGTTGCATCCACGATCGCAGTTTGTGCTCTGCGTGGCGCAATCCGTGCTTGGGTTAAAACCTTTTAAAGGGTGAGAGTTGTGAGATTTTGAACTCTGGCAAAATATCTTAAGATTAAAAATTGTAGATACACAGGCGCAATGATATTATATAAATAGATATGTATTGTAATATATATATATATTTAGAGCAACTCTCATATACTTTTTAAATATATAGTAACTATTTATACATCGTACCACTTTATATATATGTATATTAACAATATATATATATATAGAGTAACTATATATTTATATATAGTAACTATATTTGTAGTAGCTATATTTCTTTTTTTTGTAACTATATATATATACATAGTAGCAATACATACACAGTAAAAAAACAAAATATGTATATATATATACACACGTATATTAGCTATATATATATATACAGATATTTAGTAGGTATGTATATGTACAGTAACTATATATGTAGTAACTATTTGTATATGTGTTGATAGTAACTGTATATTTGTCAAAAATATATATATATGTATAAATAGTAACTATATGTGTATATATATATACAGTAACTGTGTATACAGTAACTATATATGCAGTAAGTAGTTTTTACAGTAACTATATATGCAGTCACTGTATATATATATATTTATATGTATGGTTTTTTAATTTGCATAGCAAAACATTTATATATATATACATATATAGTAACTACAAATATTCTTAGTAGCTATATATATATTGCATATATATATGGTATTTATTTATATATAGTAACGGTATATATTTAGTAACGATACATACATATATATATAGTAATTATATATATTATTTACATTGCAACTCTATCTCTATATATATATAGTGTATATACATATATATATATTTGTTGTATATATATAATAACTTTATATGTCCTTATGTATATATAGTACCTTTTTGTATACATAGTCACAATACATTTTTGCCTATATATATATGCATATAGTAACGATATATATATATATTTGCATCTAGTAACGCTATTTATATATATATATATTAAAAAAACAGTATATATATAGAGAGAGAGAGAGAAAGAGAAAGAGAGAGATTGGGATACACCACGAATGAATATTTTTGCTGGGATGATAGTACCCTTTGACTTTGGGAGGGTGGCCAGCTGGGTGAATCCACAAATACCTACCATTCAGCAGGGTTCAGCCGGGTATTTTGCTGGTAATCCAACCTAGAAAGCGTGGTTTACTAGGGAATTTCCACACAACTGGGACCATAGAATGGGGATGTTTAATATTAGGGGGATCGGATTTATCAATATAATGGAATCTTGCAAACCAGAAAAGCTCCCGTTCATTCTGGTCATTGATAGACAAGGGTAAATTACTACTCGATTGTTATTTTGGAGCGGTAGTGACCAAACAAGGAACAGTTTTTGGGCTTTCCAGAGGGTCGCTGTACAGTAGGTTGTCCCATGGCTTCAGTATCACATTTTTATATGTCTTTATGGATGTCGCATCCCCGATGAAACCATGATAAATTTATGGGTTTTGAGTTGGTAAGCAATGGTAGGTCGGCACCCCGGGTTCCTTGGAATTGTTTTTTTCGCTGCGAGAAAAAAACACCCAGCTACCAAAGATTGACCTTCTGAAATGATGCTGAAGTGCCTTCAAAATCACAACAAAAACCATGGTTAAAACCATGGTCTTTTAAAACCTATAAATGATGGCTAGCCCGTGGTGACTTCAACATGGCTAGCCGAACTGCTGGAAGGCCACCAAAATCATCCACTGATAGATGGATTTTCCATAAATAAATAAATAATAAATTAATAAATAAATAAATAATATATATATATATACACCTGGTTGGTGGTTTCAAACATTTTTTATTTTCCATTTCATATATGGGATGTCATCCTTCCCATTGACGAACTCATATTTTTCAGAGGGGTAGGTCAACCACCAACCAGATACATATTATAAACCATCCAGCTATTGGCGTAGCCCCAAATTCTACGGGAGTCTGACTGGATCTGTTGGATGAATCCTCCCAAGCTTTGAGATTGTTTTTCATAAACCACTCATGACGAATGGGTGAAATTGGGGATGGTTTATGACATTTTATGACACTGCTTTACCAACATTAGAAATTAATAAATGAGTCATGTTCCACTTCGCCAACGGTTCTGGTGCCAGAGAGGAGTGTCCTTTCAACGGCTGTGAGACTAAAACAAGTTGATGGGCCCTGGACCCGTGACCAGCCCGGGACTCATAAACTGCCCTCATAAACTGCCTGTCATGTGCTCAATTCTTATAAACTTAGACTGCCCAAGTGATGGATATAGTTATAGTTATTTCTAGATTTCGAGATGTAGCTATTAGTATAAGAAATCAGTGCTTTGTATTGGAATCCCCTGCATATTTGGTTTCAGATTGCACGGGGTCATTATTGTATGTTCTTTAATAATCTGCAATATTTGTGCATCAATACCACCGTGCTATATGAATGTTCCGCACCACAAGCCCCCACCCTTGAACGCGTTGAACGCGTGCACTAAGGACACTGACGGCCTGTTCAGCGACCTTTGCACATCTCACATCAACCAAGCCATCCAAGTGGGTTTCCGAACCCTGGAGAAACATCTGCCAGTCATCAATGTCGCCTGACGCAGCGACGGTCCGTCGGAGATGTTTTCCCTGGGGACAAAGTGAAGAAATCCCCATATTTTGGCCGAAAACCTGGAGCACCTTGATGAAATGCCACCTTTTTTTTTGGGGTTTGCTCCAGCAGCTTGCTGCACCATACACGTCAATGTCTTAACATGTTTATTTTTAATTTTTTTGGCACCCCTGATGCGACAGGTATTCAGACCTGGAGTCCCAAAAACGTCAAGCTCTCCATGTTATTCTTATGCTTTTGACCTCACACGACTACACAGGGTTTTAGCAGTTTTAGATGGATAAAAACTAGGTTGCCACTTTCACAGAACACCGAACGGGGATCTTACACGTGGTAAGGAGTTTCTTTCTCACCCACGAATCAACTTCGCAAACCAAAATTATATACAGTATCTTGTTCACCATTCACCAGATGTCATTATATCTCTCACAATCCCTCCCACCATTGCAGATTTGAATGGAAATTGAATTTTCAATCTGTTGGGTGACCTCAAACAAACCAGTTATGCATGAAACGTAACTTATCGACTTCTCTCCTCACTTTCTTGTACATTAGTTGTTTTTTTTCTATATCTCTATCTACGTCCACATCTATCTCTATTTTTTGTATCATGCTGGCAACTTGGCAACCTGCCAGTGGCAAGTCAGACCTTTCCAAGGCGGATCCTGGGGTCCACAACGCCCTCATCAACCTGATGCTCACCCGGCCCAAGCCCTCAGTGATCCTCATCTGTAGCGAGCTGGAAACCTACAGCCGTCCCCCGGCCTCGTTGGTGACTCAAATTCTTGGTGGTGGGGATGAACACAAAAAAAGTTTGAAATATAGTTAAAATACGCAATTTTACATCAGTTTACTGCGATTTTAGGTGAGGTGATTTACAGCACAAGTCTGATATTTACCATCAAAAACAGGACTTTAAGCAAAAAGAAAAGCAATGTGGTCATAAAATGATCAAATGGGGATGGATGTTGTGATAGCCAGAGGCCCTCAGTGGCCAAACTGGTGGTTGCACCCAGCGACATTACCCACAGTTTGTCCCAAATGGATCAATTCTGTAATCCCATGGCGTATCATCATGTTACTTATTTGAAGTTGCAGCTTTGAGTTTTACCCATGTTTTGTGCATGCCCATACATCAACCCCGTACATGTTATATATATATATACAGACATGTATATATATATATATATATATTGCACAGTCACTGTTTGCTTCTTTTGATATTAATCCATGATGTCCCCATTATATATCTATTAATCCCATGTACACTATTTGCTGGCTGTCGGTGTCAATATTTTGTTATACAAGTGTCTATACCTAATTCTTGAATTGACGAATCGTTTGACGAATCAGCTTGGTGGGTGCTTTGAAAGTGGGCTTGATACCATTAGTTGTGCAAGTCATTTGCGGGAGTTCCTTAAAATGGGATATCTCCAAGTCACCATGAGGTTCAACACTAAAATGGTTCAAGAATTTGGATGATTTGCGGTACCCCCATTTTAGGAAACCTCCATATCTGGATGACTTTGATCACGACCTCATGACCTTACGTCGCCACGTCACTGGAATGATTGTCAGGAGTAGTAGTAGGTGCCAATATTTCAGGCTGGCGAAGTAAGAGAACTTACTCTTCTGTAACCCCAGGGTATCCAGATGTATGGAGATTGCAGTTATTCCTAGAGTGAAGGGTGAAGATCTTCTGAAATGGATAGAATTTCCCGGAAATCTCAAAGATCAAAGCAAACACAATGGGGTGGACACAGGAACAGCTGATGGTTCCTAGCAAAATGCTGATTTTCAGGCGGAAACCATATGATTCCGGAGCATGTTTCATTGCCAAATTACTGTATAGTCTCGCCTTTTTGTCCATGAGATACTATACATCACGTCCTATCCGGACATCTAAAAATCTAAAAGTCCCATCTCGTATATCCCCATTTTTGATAGTCCCAGTGTGTTGAATGTTATTTATACCAGTTCTATCTATCGGATAAAACTATGTAACCAATATTAGCTCATTAACCAATACTATATCCCTATCTTGTTCCAGAATATCCCCATTCGCACTTCAATCCCGTTATGTCCTCAGATTATCCCCATATTATATGCATTATTTTGTTGTTTGATAACCTAATCCCCCCATGGATGCTCTCGCTGATCCATGATCCCAAGTGTATTCCATTGTTCTGTGATGAAAAATCCCATGGATCTTTGAATAACTGCTTGGCGGTTCGGAACATGAATGGATTTTTTTGCCATCATACTGGGAATCATTCATATTTGGAACATTTGGATTATTTTCCATCATATTGGAATAATCATCATCCCAACTGACTCATATTTTTCAGAGGGGTTGGTTGAAACCACCAAGCAGTATCTGTCTGAGTGTTTTCTTAGTCCCAGGTGGTTGATGATTGGAGGTTTCCTGAAATGGTGCTACCCCCCATAAATGAATGTTTTATATCATGGAAAATCCTAGTAACAATATATTATATGGATGATGACTGGGGGTACCACTATTTTTTGCGGACACACCCATATCTGCTTCATATTGACTTTTGATTTATGAACACGATTTGAATCATCACTATTAACCATTTGTAAACGATTGGGTAAAAAAACAAAACTATCCTCATGTTGATGAGGTTATTTCACTTATATCCCACAATGTGGTACCCCCCAGTTATGAGTTGGTCTATAACCCCGTGAACTACTTCGATATAGCACAAGTCCAAAGTTCGAGTTATGTTCACCAACTTAGTTATCATACATGATATACAATGATATACAGTAAATCAGGCCTAAATCCCCTATGAAATCCCCATGTTTCTTGGTTTAATTCACATCTTCCCTTGGTTTCGGCGGGTCAGGCTTCATCCACGGACTCACTGCAATGCACATCACCTTCGAATGGGTGGGGCGGGCCGGGCCCCATCGTAGGTGGCTCAAAAACCACCAGGAAATGGTTCGTAAATGGGTGAAAATAAAAAAAAAGCAGTTTGAATAACGGAATACCCCCACTTAGATGAGGAAGGGATGAACTATGGCTTGGATTGGATAAGCCGATCCGATTCAAATTCACCAATTGGAGTTGCTGAGTCGATGATTGAAATGGCATTTTCCCCTGGAAATTCAACGGTCAAGTGGAATCTATAGGGATTCGGTCTTTATAATGTTGGGCCATTTTAAGCAAAGCCAGGTTTTGCGGACATATCAAATGTTGTTATGTTTTTTTTTGGGTGTATGTTCCCCTGACGTTTGTAATATATCTCATATATTATTTATAAGTAAATGTATTTATAAATAATTTATATATTAGTGTACAAATATATATATATGTATGTATATACACACATAATTATAGATAAATATGTTTAGTTAATATGTATATATATATTTACACATTTGTATACAATATGTATGTATTGTTTGTCTATCTATCTACTATATATATATATATATATATTTTTTGGAATTCAATGTATATAAATGCAAATATACCGTGTCCATGATATGCATATTTGTGCATATATATATATACATATGTCACAACTTTCGATAGCACAAAGATCCCAGTGACGTTGGATAACGTTCCCAACAAATCTGCGGGAAGCCTCCACCAATTAGGTGCTAAAAACCATACTTGAAAAAGCGTATTTGGTTCCCTTTGACACAGCCCCCAACATCCCCAGTCTTCCCATTGTTTCCATGATTCAAGCACAATGTACAAGTATTTGGAACACACTAATAATGTCTTTACTCACTAGCATGATGGTTTGTTGTTTATCCAAAATTATTGTTGACTGTATCCCCAAACTAATTACTGAGGTTTGTTAACACACAAACAGGAAAAAAAAATTGTCTGTCCCAATGGGTCCCACACCTGTGCAACCTGCAGTTCTTATCGAGGAACGAGCCATGAACCGTGAAAATCCAGGTTCAATGAAGAACATCAATGCAAATACAATGGAATATAGATATAACCAACAAAATATGGGGATATATTGCATACAATAGGATGTAATGATATCTAATTCCATCCCCCTAATATAAAACATTCTGTAAATGGTCCCAAATATGTCTAAATCTCTACTAAGTCCTTGTTTTTGGGGATGTTTAATGTTAAAGAGAGATGACTGCAAGCAGACCATGGGTAATTTCCCCTGCTCCAAAATGGACCTGCTTTAACCTTTGGGGGGTACCAGGGTATATAAAGCCAACAATATGATCTTTGGGTGTGTCGGAAAACGGGGTATTCCCGGAAGTAACTCCATTTCAGCAGGAATATGATGAGTATTTAGGACTCTAAATACCATATCGCAGACAAAAACGATTAAAATTAAGGTGGTTAATGCTTGAGCTTGGACTATGTAAAATCAGCGTGTTTCTCTTATTTCTCGTTGCCTGAAGTCATGATTTCGATGATGGAAAACAACAATCCCATGCCCTTAGCATCAACATATATAAGCATACATATAATATATATAATTATATATGTATATATATATATAATTATATGTATATATATATATAATTATATATGTATATATATATATATATACATATATATTAAATATGTATCCCCCCTAAAAAGCCCAGTTTCACTTAAGGTATCTATAAAAAGCCACGCTCCTGTGGGCCAGATCGTGAGCTGCATTCCTTTTGGCGCACAGTTGCAAACCAAAGTGCCAGGATCGCCGTTCTTGACGTTCGCCTCATGGGTTGATGGAGGGGTACTTGAAACGGTGAAATTGCAACTAGGCAGGTGCAATAACTGTTGGTAGTGTTGGTAGGTCATCCCACATATCATACATATAGAATCATTTATATATATATATGTATTTATGTGTGTGTAAAAATATATAAGTATATAATTATCTAGTTCTATTATATATATATTGTTTGAATTTTTCTAATTCATTCATGTTTTGTGTAAGTATATATATATATGTGTATATGTGTATGTATATGTAGATGTATATGTATATGTATATGCATATGTGTGTATACATCTATTTATATATTTATATATATAATACATATATACATATGTACATATGTATGTATTTATGTATGTATGTATACATATCATATATTTATATATACACATACATGTACATGTTTTGCTTACACTTACTCTTATGTTTTCATACGTATATACATATGACATACATAATTGTTCATGTCACATACCTATATCCACCTGGCATCATCTAACTATGTATTTGAATATATGTAGATGTTGTACCTAGTTACTGCAACTATTTTTATACACGGATATGTGGTCTACTTGATTTATCGCATCTATCATATCTTATCTATCTAATTCTATGTTATTCTATTTTATTCTCTCTGATTCGATCTATCTGAGTCTACTAAATCTATTTAAATCTATCTAAATCTATTTAAATCTATCTAAGTCTATCTATTTTTCTAAATCTATCTAAATCCATCTAAATCTATCTAAATCTATTTATGTGTTTCTAAATCTATCTAAATCCATCTAAATCTATCTAAATTCATTTTTTCTAAATCTATCTAAATCTAATTCTATCTAATTCTATGTTTATTTTTATCTAATTTTTTCTATGTCGTTCTATTTCTATCTATGTTTCTGCTTCCCCTCATATGAACAAAAAGTTCGATGTGGCGAAGCCACCATTTCAAGATCATGTTCCCAGGATTTTCCCAGCATTTTCGCAGGGTTTTTCCAGGTTTTCCCAGGGTTTTCCTAGGCTTTTCCCCCCCTTCCCGTTGGACGTCGGAGGCAGTCGATTGGCCTGGAACTTCCTGGAGCCGACGCCCTGGCCCTCGTCCTTACAGATGCTGCACAATGACCAGGACGGCCATGGGGCATTTTTAAAAATGGTGAGATAATGGTAAATCACCAATGGTAAATAGTCCATTTAAAATGACCAATTAGTCTAATAACCACTATAAATATAATAACCATTAATAGTCTCATAGATTAGTGTAATAGTGGTTATTTTATTAACCATAAAATAGTCTAATGGATTAATGGTTATTAATATTTAATAGTCAATGGTTATTTTTAACCAATTATTAATTGTTATTTACAATTGGTTATTTACCATTGAAAAATTTACCATTGGTTTATAAACCCATTATCTACAGCTGGTTGGTGGTTTGGAACATTTTTTACTTTTCCATTTCATATATGGGATGTCATCCTTCCCATTGACGAACTCATATTTTTCAGAGGGGTAGGTCAACCACCAACTAGGTAAAATTCCATGGGCATTTATGGTTTTTATAGCCCATTTAATGGTAAAATGATAAAATGACATAAGATGACTACTGACCTATGGGATGGGATATGGGGTATATATGGATTATAAACCACAAACACCCTCTGGTAGTTTCTTACAGTTTGCTATTGAACATGGCCAATTTTTTTCGTTGATTTACCGAACTTAAAGATTGTGATGTTCCATAGCGAACTGTTAGTTTACCAGAGGGTAATGGGCATTATTAAACATCTATGTTTAAATGGTTTGATATATCATTTTTGATATTCTAATGGTTGGATTAATGTATTGAAAAAATATTGTATTATAATGATATTCCAATACAATGGTTGTTATTTAACATAATATCATTTGATTAAACATCTATTTTACCATGTTTAAATGGTTGGTGGACGATGACTATGGATTCCATGGTTAATATGTGTGTAATATTAATACCTAAGGGGCGCCTAATGGTGACCCATGCTAAGGGATGCCTTTTAGACACCCCCTAGAGGGTGCTGGTACTTGATGATTGTTAATAATGGTTAATACTCTCAGTAATAATCATGGGTCAATACTGAATGGTTAATACTAATTAAGTATCCCATATCAAGTAATAACAGTTGGTTAGTATCCCATATCATGTCATAATAATTGGTTAATAATGTTTAATATCATTATCTATTATGTGTTAATACAATACTTAATGATAATGTCCACATGTCGTTCATCTCAAAGGACTACGGTGAGAACTCGTGACATCTCAGGGCATTGGTGCCAATGGGGAGAGTTGATGCGTCAAAAGTGCATCAAAAGTGCACGAACTTTTCGTGAAACAACATGAGAATTTGTCCAAAGTTTCACGAATTTGTTGTAAAATGTCACGAACTTTTACCAAACAGTCACGAACTGTTGCCTTTACTATGATTACCTAACATTGTAAAATTTACTAGCATATGTGTTCGTAAAAAAATGATAAACCAACAAAAATACGTAAAATTCGGGGCGAGTCATTTTACGAATTCTGGAGACTTATAGGGCATGTCACCCATTTGATTTCAACTTAAGAAGCATGGTTTAGGGCACCAGGGTTCATACCCCACATCTATGGTAAGATTGATCTACATTTGTTTATATAGTTATGTGATTACATATATATATATATATATATCCACGGTATGAGTTGGTGTCCTGGTTTAGTCTTGTCATCCTAGGGCCTTAAAACATTGACCCATACCCAGATGATTTGTTGGTAATATTCATATGAGTTTGAATTAGTTCCCCATACAAGTGGAAGGAGGAGTCTTTAAGAGGTATTGTAGTGACCATAGGGATCTCAATATAGGGGTCACGTTCAAGTTCGACCATGACAAGACAGCATTGTCATCAGTTTTTATCATCGCATATCCCACCGGATCCCTGTCGAAGTATTTGACAATCAGGGGCTTGAAAGGGCTTGTTTGCGGGATAAATATCATTGTTTCATCATTTTTCTTGGACACCCAAAAAGGATAGACGCTTTTCAAATCCCGCGAGCGAAAACTGTGATAAATCACATCCAATTGGATGGTGAAACCATGGCAAAACCCTTTGGAGCCTTTCCTTGATGGGCTACTCTTTGGTCCGACATAGCTAAGTCAATGGATTGGTAAAACAGAACATTTACAGGAAACAAATTCATCAAATTTCATGTAATCCTTTGACGTATTACTCGTACCTTAGGGCCTACAATGCCTATATAGATTATGTTTTCCATCACATATACCCTAAGGTAAATGAACATAGATGTGGAAAACACACCTTTTGTAGATCACGTTGCGAACGGGAAACCGCGGGTTCCACTCCTTTTGTAATGTTTAGGCTAGGCTAGTGGGTTCCGGAAAAGACCAATCCAATGAGTATGGATCATGACGCGTGGTGATTTACCCATCATTTTGATGGTTGTTTTCCACCGCAAACTGTTGGAACCAGAGGGTAACCTGCGTGAACGATACATCAATCTACCAGCTAACTCTGGGGCATCACCTTTTAGGTGATGAATTTAATGTCATGTCCAATGTGTTTCAACCTTTTTTCAGGTATTATAGTCTTACATTAACATTACATGTTTTTTTTGCCACATGAACTTGTTCATTTGTTTGCAATTGTTCTAATTATGGTGGTTTGATGCCCGGAAAGCGGAGGAGTTGATAGAGGCATTTGTTCCAACTGAGAGTGTCTTGGCGCTTCAGTGGACACTTTTTGCATTTCACATAATTTGACAGGCACCCAACATGCGAAATCCAAAAAATCCAAAATGGATTCAGAACATTTCAGAACTCCAGTTTTCAGTTTTTGGGTTTATCCGAATGTTTATCCAAGAATGGGGTAGACGTAAAATCCAATGGTTTCAAGTCGTGTTTCAAGTTTCACTTTCCCCATCAAACAATGCCGTGCTTGGGACTCCCAAACTGATTTCCCAGATAAGATCTGATATGATATGACACGATGCGATGTGATATGATGTGATAGAATGAGATTGAGATGATATAATTCGTTTTCATGCTTGTGTTTTTGTATTTGCTGCATCTTATGTGTATAGATATATATGGAGGTTTCCATTAATGGTGATACCCCAAAATGGATGGTTTAGAATGCAAAATCCCATTAAAATGGATGATGCGGCGGTACCATTTTAGGACACATCCATATATGCACATACCTCCTGTATTATGATGCTTGCAGTTGATGGGAAAGAGACCCTTTTTCCATTTACGACATCAAGGAGGCGAAGACCCTGCCTTGACGAACCATGGTCATTTATTTACGCACGGATGTTTGTTTTTTTCCATAGAGTTGATGCCTTGCCTTCAGAATAGACCCCAGAAATCCAAAGCAGCGGGGATGAAGATCTATTTGAGTGCTGATATCCATTCAAAGTTTCCATTGTGGTGTTCCGTGGGATTCTGAATTGCCGGATATCACCCAAGTACCGGTGGGCAAGATCCCAGATGAATATCAAGGATGTTGGTGAAATGTATGTTCCACGAATGTTTCTAAATGACGATTGCGACTGGATGCTCCAGGAACTGGTTGGAAGCCAGGTATGTTCAGGTATGTGAGGCTAACCATTACGAGTTGAGGATTTTGGATTCTCATGAAGGTTCAAACCCAGTGAAACCATCAATTCCCTATCGTTCCCTGCTAACGTTTGGGAAGTTTTCTGGTGAGCTTTGGACGGGAGATTTACGCGCAGACTGATTTCTTTTGTCAACTTCTGGATGGACCTGGAAATGGGCCCAGAAGTCTGGTCCAAATGGATCCAAATGGCTAATGTGGGATCCGTAATAAAGCATTAATCAATGATTATACAAGCAACATCAACCAATATCAATCCATGTTGGGATACAATATGGCTGGAAAACCAAACATGACTGGTGTTCATTTACATCATCCCAGTCGTAGTGATATACCGGTATACCCAATAAGAAACCTCTATTGGGGAAGTATATGATTGGCTTTACCTCATTACACCATGTTTGGTCCAGCCATATCAAGTTGTTGGCTGTATCCCGATTGTATTCTCATTAGATTCCCATCCACTTACATTATATACAGTAATGTGGTAAGAGCAACTATCGAATTATCCCCAATTTATCCAACATGCAAAATTTGGAGACACTTTAAACATCTTTAAACCATACCCCAAACATCTTTTGTGTCACGTTTGGGTTTAACACATTGTTTGGGTCAAGCTTGGATGGATAAACACGAAGACACGTCTAAGTTTTGTCATGGGGGATATTTACTATGTGGACAAATTATAGTGACCTCACTGTGACCTATCTGGAATCATGCTTAGTGAGGTGAATCATCCACAAATTGCCTTAATTGTTACGTGTTTTTTCCACTTAGAGTCTTGAAAGCATGTTTTCTGTAGCACGTTATTTCAACACACCATTTTTTACTCCCAAATTACTCTTTTAGTTTAAAGCAGTTTTCAACCCGTGGCTGCCGTAGCAACTCTCAAGGTTAGTGCAACACTGTAATTTACCTAGTATATATATATATTATGTGTTGCCATATTCAACGCATTATAACTGTGCAAGAACGGAACAAATTAGTGGTTATATAATGACATCCGTGTAAATGAGCAAACCGACAATTTTTGTGGTAGGTTCTATTTCCATATATAATATACATATATACACACACTATGTATGTACCTACAATGTGCTGCCGCGCAGTTATGTTTTTTGGTTAATTCACCCCATTGTCTAGATCGATAAATAAATCTACCACAACTCCAACACTTATTGTCCACCAATTGGATGAAGGAACATCAAAAAACGGGAACCCTTTTAAAAAAAAAAAAAGTGGAGAAAACTACCATGGTTTTGAGCTTTCAGTGAAGATTTTCCCATAAACCAATCCATTGATATTGGTTGAATCCATGTATGTATATATATTTATATAAATATGTGCGTATGATGTGTCCATATATAAATATACTTGTATTATATATATACATACATGCATACATGTATACACACACTGTATATTCCCAATATCAGTGGTTAAACACCCATTAACTCGGCTCAGGTTTCGCCACGTTATGTTCCTCTAAGCCCCTGCTCACCATGCAGATCTTGGCCTTGCATTCTGCCGTTCGGAGCCACGGAACTGGGAATATCTGTGGAAATCTCTGTGGAGTATCTATGGGAATATTGAAAGAGAATAGGAAACATTATAGAGATTGTATAACTGTATAACGTAATAAATCCTAGGTTTGGTTTTTTTTCACATGGGCCCGGACATGATACCCAAGATCAACATTATTGTATATAGGAGAAATGGTGATTATATGAGCACATGCCTTCAAGCTCCTATTGGAGATGACATCCAAACTATTCATGGTCAATGGGGATGGTTTTTGTTTGGGAATTTCAAGGGCATTGAGAATATGAATCGTGTTTTTTGGAGGAAAAAACGCGTCCTTAAGTTCCTTATCAAATATGGTATGTAATAGTTTGATCTCATCAAACACCCATGTGTTTCTGATCCAAAGTGGGCACGGTATCATCTCATAATGAGGTCTTGTTTGAAAATAGGATACAAATAGATCTGTTGGCTGAACACCTTTTTCCAATTGAAATCGCTGTCTTGAGGGTGACTCCCCACATGTTCGTTATATATCTCATTGTATCATATTGTATCTCCATAAAAGGGTTGGTTTGATTCCCCAATCATCCCATTATCCCCGTTAACCTTGGACAAACCCATTTTGCGCCGTGGTTATTCCTCTACATTGAGTGGATTGGATCCCCCCAGGTCAACAGTTGGATCATATATCCATGATTTGCATTTTGGAAATGTGTGGCTTATGTGCATATTCCGTAGCCATTTACATGGTCATGTTTCCTGCGTTTTTTCCATATGTTTACAACATTCATCATGTGTGTGCAAGTGCAAGAGCAGATCCCCATAGTGTATGCAAGTGCAAGAGAAGTTGACATGAACGTTATTAACGTTATTACCCCACCCCACCCCGCCCCACCCCATCCCCACCCCAGTGCACAGATCAAAGTTCCATTCCTGTTCAAGTTGACATGAACGTTATTGCCCCACCCCACCCCATCCCCACCCCAAATGACAGAAACGCATTGTTTGAATGCGAGTTTCTACATACGTGAATGGTTTTACTGGGTACATCATGGTACATCATCTAGAAATGGACTAGCTTCCATCAGCTACCCACTGGTAAACATACAAACAACTATGGAAAATCCACCCATTCTATAGCTGGGAAAATCAACGAACTTTCTATGGCAATTTCCAAAAGCGAACTGTTAGACATTGCTAGTTCTATGATTCCCATTAGATGACCCTGATCAGCAAGTGGTGCCGGCCCAGTTATAATTTGGTTTATAGCCCCATGAACTTATGGTGTATATTAATTAGTTATCACAAATCCCATGAAATCCACATTTTTCTTGGTTAAATTCACATCTTCCTATGGTTTCCCATGGTTTCCCTAACAGGGGCACCACCTTATACTGGCACAACTACGGCGCCCAGGTGCAGATCGTGAACCAGGCGCCCAGAACGGCACGGGCCCATGAAATTCCCATACCCTCCGGTAATCAAACATGACTTCCCGGAAAATCCCTGATTTAGTTCGATATTGTTTCCAGCATACAATGTATAACTTGTCATTAGCTCTATGTTTGACTATTTTGTAAGTTATATACCCTCTAAACTATAACTATGGAAAATCACCGTTTTATAGATGGGTAAATCAACTATTTCTATGGCCATTTTCAATAGCTTTTTGTATGTTTACCAGAGGGTAGTTGGTTGTACAGTTGGTACTCCAAATGTTGACCTTAGTTCCGCTATTGATTGTTGGTTATAGCTTGGACGACCTGTCTTTAGTTGTTTACGTCATTTATATCTCTAAATAGTACCCTCCGTTGAAACGTTTAGATGTGGAAAACCAATCATTTGCAGATCATGTTCCTAGGGAAACCATTGGTTTCCCACATTCATATTAGTTTATCCTGGGGTGTACAATACGTGTGTGATACGTACATGGGAGTTTGGTTGAAATAGGATCTGTATCCGCAGGCAAGGCATTGTTTTCAACAAGGAAAGGCCTGTAAACATTACAAAATATATATGGAATATAAAACGCATGAATTATAGTTGGTATGTTGGTTATGTACTCCCATGTTTTGTTGGATAGTTCAAACAGTGATCCAATTATATAATTCAACTATATTCAACACCAGCCAGTTGCATGCTCAGAATAGCATCTATTGTAAAAGTCACTTCCGTATATAGATATATATATATATAGTACAGTCCCAAAAATGATATATCTAACCAATGAACAAGCAATGCATGTTTGGTAGGCAGAGGAGTAGTGTTGTGTTTCTCTAATGGTCTATTTTTGCATGAAACCACTATTCCAACACTATTATACATGTATATATATATATAGTGCACTTGTATGCACTTGTTATATTGCACCCTTAACGAGCAACACTGGTAATCAATAATACATATATATGACTGTCTAGTGTTTGGCAGGCCTGGGTGGACAATGGTCATTCCTTGGTGGTTGGTTAAATAAGGTAAAACCAATGCCAATTTTGGCTCAAGTAAATATTGATCCAAAATAGCAGCATTGTTTTCCTTGGACGGGAGGTAGCTGGTCTAAGTGGTGGTGCCCACTGAATGGCCAGCGTAATCCCTGGGGTACATGTTGCTATGCACACGCCGCGGCATGGATGGACTTCTCCAACTACGTGCGCAGTCTTCTTCATGCTGGGCGAGCTGCCGAGGCGCGCACCCTTTGGGAGTCTGTTGTGGAAGTCATCCATAATGGAACTAGCCCAAATGTGGAAGTTTTGGGGATCCCAGAGTTGCCTGGGGTGTGCAGAGTCCCTTGCATGGAGTCACCATGTATGCGATGTGATACCAGGGGGGGAGGCTTTCAATTTCCTTTCGTGGGTATCTGGACCAGGACGGCTGTTTTGGCCCGAGCAGGTGACACAGCTCAATCCGTGTGGGAACGGTACCATGCTGGGGAGGACACTTTTGAGCTCCTTGCGCTGCAAAGAGTGGCCTCGGGCGTTACCCGTGCGCAGCTTCTTCCACGCCATGTCAACGGGGCCCTTGCCAGGCTGGCCCTGTGTTGTGACGGCATCACGATGCAGGAGCTCTTCGAACTATGGAGGGCATGGCAGCACGGTAGCTGGACAGCCTGCGGAGGAGTCGTGTGGATCAACGACGAATATCGAAGAGCGGGTGCTGCCTTGCGATGCATCTTGGGCGCCGTGGAGGCTGAGGTGGACTGGATCCCTGGGCCATGTCGGCTCTGTTGGATCCCTACGTTCACATCCTGCCCAACCTGCGGAGGAGCCGTCTGCGAGGAATGCAGGCGAGGAGGCGACTTCTGCCCCTTCTGCGGCTCTTCCGACGATGAGTTCTGAGTCAGTCCTGTCAGGGGATGTCGAAGGGGTGGTCCAGGGAGGGTATAAGGCACGGGAGAGTGCTGGATCCAGATCATCTCCTTCTACATCCTCAGCCCTGGCTCAACTAGGACTCGTGATCGCTGCCGGTGCCATGGCGAGCGGTAAGGGACGGTACGCTCTTGAGGCCGCAGGTGAAGCAAGCACCTGGGACCCAGAGCAAGCCGTGGAAGTGGCCACTATGGAGAGGGCGTGGGAAGTGAGACAGCACTTCGGTCTAGCCGATGATTACGACCTCGCCTATGCCTTCGAGAACTACCAGGACGCCATGTCGGCGGGGGGCATGCTCTGGTGGCGCAATGGGCCTCAGCCCGCATCGGCTGAAGTGTTCAGCTAGGGATGAGGTCCATGTCTTCAGCTTTTGCTCAAGACAGAGTAGGACCGCTCGGGGGAACCGAGGTGGGTTGGTGCGGGAGTGACCCGTATGAGCTCATCAGGCTTGGTACCTAGAGAGGGAGGAACCAGAAGTTTCCCTAGCGGCACTAGGGGTCAATTTCAGCCTTAACGACGTAATCGTGAAAGGGCTTATCAAAGAGAAGATAGCCAACCTCGAGGAATTTCGGTTTTTCTTTCATGATGGTGCCCAAGTGGAAACCTGGGTAACCAAGCTCGGTGTGACCGATGATAAAATGGTGCAGATTGCCAGGCTGAGGAGAGCATGGGCGGCAGTCTCGCTGTTTTACCAAACGGCTGAGCAGGACCGGTCTAAGGTTTAGACCACCGACTTCGATAGCATGCTCAATGAGAGTGAGCTGCGGGATCCCAAGACGGCCTTCTGGCGGGGGTACCGCTTGAAGTTCCCAACTGAGGTACATCCAGCGGATACAACCGTCTCAGGGGCGAGTCGGGAACTATCCAAGAGGATGTTGTGTGTTTTCGACCTGTGGAAGTCAAGATGCTGGTGCATGCTGGTTTATGCTGGCGCATGGCTTGCGCATGCTGTTGCATGCTGGTGCATGCTGGTGCATGCTGGTGCATGCTGGTGCATGCTGGTGCATGCTGGTGCATGCTGGTGCATGCTGGTGCATGCCGGTGCATGCTGGTGCATGCTGGTGCATGCTGGTGCATGCTGGTGCATGCTGGTGCATGCTGGTGCATGCTGGTGCATGCTGGTGCATGCTGGGTGCATGCTGGTGCATGCCATGCTGGTGCATGCTGGTGCATGCTGTTGCATGCCGGTGCATGCTGGTGCATGCCGGTGCAGGCTGGTGCATGCTGGTGCATGCTGGTGCATGCTGGTGCATGCTGGTATGCCATGCTGGTGCATGCTGGTGCATGCTGGTGCATGCCGGTGCATGCCGGTGCATGCTGGTGCATGCTGGTGCATGCTGGTGCATGCTGGTGCATGCTGGTGCATGCTGGTGCATGCTGGTGCATGCTGGTGCATGCTGGTGCATGCTGGGTGCATGCTGGTGCATGCCATGCTGGTGCATGCTGGTGCATGCTGTTGCATGCTGGTGCATGCTGGTGCATGCCGGTGCAGGCTGGTGCATGCTGGTGCATGCTGGTGCATGCTGGTGCCACCTGAAAGCAGGGAGGCATCACTTACAACCTTTTTCTGTATAGGCTAAGAGCTTAGAGAGGTACGCATTTTTAGGGGCCAGCGGCGCTCTCCGAGCCTCTCGTTTTCTGTAATTCATTCATCAGATGTCCATTCCATATGGGCCAAGGTAACTTGACAGGATCGGAACCTCGGATAACAGCTCACGTTGGAAAAATGTGAAGAGGATAATCCAGGGTCCTACCAGTGCAGCTGCATGGGTTTCTTGCTGAAGAGCTCAGTAAGAAGGGCTAGCTAGGGTAGCAGTCCATGGCGACTAGTTTCAGCATCTTTCTTTCAGGCTTTTTAGGTTCTTCCCTTTGGCATATCGAACCTGATGTCAGTTCGAGAGAGTCGGGGAGGGGTGTCAGTGTCCAGGGGGTCCTGGGATCCCTTTCAATGAGCGGAGTAGCCGCGTGCAGGTCCACGTCTTCAGCTTTTGCTCAAGACAGCGTAGGACCGCTCGGGGGAACCGAGGAGGGTTGGTGCGGGAGTGACCCGTATGAGCTCATCAGGGTTGGTACCCAGAGAGGGGGGAACCCCAGAAGCTTCCCTAGCGGCACTAGGGGTCAATTTTAGCCTTGACGAAGTGATCGTGAAAGGGCTTATCAAAGAGAAGATATAGCTAATCTCGAGGAATTTCGATTTTTCTTTCATGATGGGGCCCAAGTGGAAACTTGGGTGACCAAGCGCGGTGTGACCGATGATAAAATGGTGCAGATCGCCAGGCTGTGGAGAGCATGGGCGGCGGTCTCACTGTTTTACCAGACGGCCGAGCATGTCTAAGGTCCAGACTACCGACTTGGATAGCATGCTCAATGAAAGTGAGCTGCGAGATCCTTCTGGCGGAGGTACCGCTTGAAGTTCCCAACCAAGGTACATCCAGCGGATACAACCGTCTCTAGGGTGAGTCGGGAACTATCCAAGAGGATGTTGTGTGTTTTCAACCTGTGGAAGGTTAAGACATTACAATTTCAGTTGACTACCAATCAGAAGAAGCGTAAGCTGGGTGAGAACCTGTACACCGAGGAAGTGGATGAAGACGAGCCATGCCAGCACAACGTGGAGTCATACCTGGACCGCCTCTACACCCTTCTTCTGGCCTATGCAATTGCAGGAGTGGCCTCTCCACCTGGCACAACACCAGATGCTACCAAGGAGTCGACCTTGGGAGCTGACTCGACCGAGTTTGCAGCGGTGCCTCTGATGACCTATTGTAAAGAGGACGTGCTACCAGGTGCACCCTTCTAAACGGCGCCAAGCAATCCTGAGCGAGCAGTTGCAGGAGGCGGACTGTATCATGGCTGCACTGGATTGCTCAACCAAGTCCAGGGCTCGAGAGATACCACTGCACTTCAGCGATGGCAGGCCTGGCCCCAAGCCACTGCGTTCTAGTGAACACCCAGAGGGTCTCCCAGGGCTGAACCCTAGAGATGCAGCCAGGGTGGAGCGCGACAACAAGGCGGCCGAGTTTGTCCTGGAAGAGATCCAGGCAATGGTGCAGCGGGGCGGCGCTACGATCAGGGAGAACCCTGGCCGGAGCCTCCATTGGGAGTTACCCAAGGAGACGGAGCTGATGGACTCGGGGCACTATTGGGAGACAGAGTATTCTGCTTGTGTCTTCCAATCAGCCCGGTGCAAGTATCAGAAGCTATGGCACAATGTTTTAGAGATCTCCCAGTGGCCCAGAGCACTATGCGCTCACACTCATGCCAGCCATGAATGGAAGCCATGGACCGAGCATGGTCAGCGGGTATATCCTTCGAAGGAGGAGGCAGAGTACTCTGCGGGATTGGCTTTTGCTATTGCAGTCTCGCTTTCTTGGTGGGCGGTGCGAGTTGGCAAAGCCGTATTACAGGTGCCTCGGATGCCACCTATGGAGACGGTAGGCCGCCGCGAGCATTGGTTGGAACTGCACCCGCAGTCAATGCAGAGTTGGGCAATGGCTCCGTTGGCTATCCTGCTGGGTTTGGAGCCACCACACCCAGAGGAGCGAGCGAGAATCCCCAGGCGGGGTCGAGTGACGGACCTGCTCCATGATGGACAATTACCAGCCGGGGCCATCTACGTGGGGCAAGGGCATCATTCACATAGGCTACCTACCACATGTTGGAAGTCCCCATTTGTGGCGGGCCATGACTGTGCCCCTGATGAGGTGATGCCCTTGTACATTGACCACATCAAGCGCAATGTTTGGTCAGGAACTTCACTCCCTCTTGGGTAAGACATTGGTTTGTGATTGTGCCGAGGATGAACTTTGTGAGGCTGACGTTTTGGCAGGATTGGTGTTTGAAGCTACTAGCCCAAGTGCATCAGCCCCTCACCCACGGGCGGCAGGGATACCACCCAGGCGGGTTGTACGGGGGCCTAAGCGAGGCAGTGTGGCCCTGGCAGCATTGCAGGCACCGACATTGGCTGGTTCCTCAGTGGTTCGGTGGACGCAAGAGGCGTCACGACTTTTCGGAAGCTCTGCCCAGCAGAGTGGTTTTCTGTTTTCCAGTTCCCTATGATTGAGGACCTCCTGAACCAACACCCCTTTAGCAGCTATGTGCAATGGCGCGAGGCGCAAGGGTTGGAGTGGGATGGTCCCCTCAATCCTTCAGGGGGGTCTGGAGTCACCAGGCTCAGGCAGCGGCACACTGAGGGCAAACAAGCAGGAAGCTTGAATCATCGAGCAGCACAGCCACCTCTCCTGCCGTTTGGGCTGGACCCGGATGAACATTTTGAGGCAGCCTGCACCATAGGCCAATATCCTTTGCCGACGGAGAGATCACCTGTCGCAGACACCGACCTCCAATTTGCAGCGTGCATGCATGCCAGGGAAAAGGATTCCTTGAGTTCGTGGAGGAGAAGGGCACTGGGCATCTTGCGTGAGCTGAAGCGGAGATGGGCACCAGTGACAGACGGGTTGCGATCTTTGCAGACGACATCAATTGCAGGGGTGACCACCAAGAGGGACTTGGGGTTAACTGCATTGCTGGTGGTGATGACCCAGTGGGGAGACACCTGTTATCCATATGGCCTCATCACCGGTTTGCCTGCGGTTGGCACTGCACCCTGCTACAACATCCGGCACAATCTGGGAGCCTCATCACTCTGGCCGAGGTAGTCGAGGATACTGATGATCACAACCGTGCCATTATTGCCAGGCTTCAATCGGGCCTTCATGACGATTTTCTGTTGTCACAGAGCTTGGTGGACGCGGACAAGGGCTTCGGCACCTATCCCATGACCTGGTCAGAGCTTCTACGAGCAACACAGGGGCGACCTTTCCGGCTCATCCCACGATGTGTGATCGTGCAACCTAGTGGCAAGAAGCGCATGATTGATGATGCAGCAGTTGGTGGCCAGTCGGCGCTTTCCTCGAACTACAACAAGCTGGTCCTTTGCAGTGCACTTCGGCCAGCACAACATGTCTCGGCTATTGCAAGCTGGATGTCCCAGAGTGACTGGGAGCATCACATGTCCTCGGACCACTTCGAGAGTGGAGGTGAGGATTGGCCAGATGCTTACCGGCACAGTCCAATCTCCAGGGAGGAGAGTCTTGGCTGTGTCGTGATCTGGTGGCATCACGAGTGGCAACAACCAGCTTTCCAGCTTTACAACTCCCTGCTCTTCGGGCTCCCCTTGGCAGTCACGAGTTTCAACCGCTACTCGAAGTTTGTGGAAGCACTGGGACGCCGTCTCCTTGCATGCTTGGTATCTATGTACTTTGATGATGCGAATATAGTTGATTGGGCCAGCTCCAAAGGAGCTTCGCAGATGGCTTTTGTGCAGCTCAACGAGATACTTGGAACCTCCTTTGCGGAAGAGAAGCACCAACCCATGTCAAGCCAAGGACTTTTCCTAGGCCTAGATCATGACTTGTCCCATTTGAGCTCTACGGGTTCTCTCAGCTTCTGGCCACGACAACGACTCACCGACAAAATCAGAACTTTAGTGCAGGAGTGCCGCACATCAGCTCGACTTCATTCAGGTACAGCCTCCAAGATCTATGGCATGATGAACTTCCTCGAGCAAGGCACCTATGGCCGCATCGGAGCCCAAGGCCTAGCACCCATCAAAGAGAGACAGTATGAGAAGGGCGTCGTCCTCACAACTCGGATTTTAAAGAGTTTTGAAGTCATCGAAGCGATACTTCGGGACAAGCCTAAGCGTCAGTTCTTCATTTTTCCACCCCCCTGCCTACGGTTTGTAGGTGCGTCGGATGCGGCCCTGGAGTGTCCAGGGCAGGGCACAGGGGGTTTTGTATAGTCTGGATGAATCATCCTGGCGCCACCAGGGAGGCTTTCATCGCAGATCTGCCACAGGAGGTCTATGACCTGTGGGAACCAGGCGAGCGCAAGATTTCACAACTGGAGATGGTTGTCATCTTGCAAGCATTGGTCTGTAGACCGCACCAATTTCGCGAGAGACGCGGAGTGTGGTTCATCGACAACGTGGCGGTCCTTATGACATTGATCAAGGGGCGAAGCGACTGCCCAGATCTGGAAGTCATGAGTGGCATAATCCACGCTTTGCTTTTTGCATATAAGACCTGGATCTTTTGGGAATGGGTCCCTTCCAAAAGCAACTGGACTGATTCGATCAGCCGATTGGGATGGAACGATCCATGGTTTAAATCCAACGGTTTCACAGCGCAGCTAGCACCTTTTCCAGCCATTCTCTGGCATCTTCCTATAGCGGCCATCATCCGCACGGCCGAGTTTCTTTAAATGCATTGGGACTGAGTGCGTTGGGTGTGAAATGATATCTGGAAGGATCCAGTATCTGAACCTGACTGGAACAGGATGCCACCATCAGCTGGGCTGATTGATCTATAGGCATACCCATGCATTATCCTGTAGGAATACAGGTTGGAAGACTATAGAGAATGAGGAAAGAGAAAAGGGTGAGCGTACCTGCGGTTGTGAGGGTTAGAGACTAACCTGTTGACTTATTCCCCAACCTTAAGGAATGTATGACTGTCTAGTGTTTGGCAGGCCTGGGTGGACAGTGGTCATTCCTTGGTGGTTGGTTAAATAAAGTAAAACCAATGCCAATTTTGGCTCAAGTAATTATTGATCCAAAATAGCAGCATTGTTTTCCTTGCCCTCCCTAAATCAGGGATTTTGACCCACCCTGTTATTAGGACCCCTGTGGGGTCTCCTCAGAACTTGAAGTCTGCGCTGCAGATGGGGTCTTTTTGCACAGAGGACTGTGAATACCTATAGATTGGAGGGGGTACTGTTCCAGCGGGTGTGAAATGATATCTGGAAGGATCCAGTATCTGAACTTGACTGGAACAGGATGCCACCATCAGCTGGGCTGATTGATCTATAGGCATACCCAATGCATTATCCTGTAGGAATACAGGTTGGAAGACAATAGAGAATGAGGAAAGAGAAAAGGGTGAGCGTACCTGCGGTTGTGAGGGTTAGAGACTAACCTGTTGACTTCTTCCCCAACCTTAAGGAATGTGTATATATATATATGTATACAATTATACACAAACCATTCATTATTTTACATACCTGGCACTCAAATGACCCCTCTTTTGGTTGGTCAACTCTCCATTCTATGGGTCAAGACCCCAAAACGAGGGTCACTTGGGGTCTAGGTATATACATATATATATATGTGTGTGTGTACATCATTAAATAGTTTGTTTGATACATTATGCATGTGTATATATATATATACACACACGTATGACCATACATGAATGTGTGTATATATATACAAATATATACACAGTATATGATCTTTACACATCATTTTGTGTATGCCGCTATCTCCGTGGATCTGTCAGGTCGTCCATGGCGCCTTCATCCTGGGAATCCAAGAGCAGTCCGGCGACGCAGCGGTGGCGCTGATGGATGCGGGGCCCTTGGGGCAGCAGGTGCTGGCCAATATGAAGGGCACTGAGCTGCCTGGTTCTGAAAAGAACCATGGTTTGCCTCTGGTAAACATACAAAAAATCAAAAGGCTATTGAACATGGCCATAGGAATAGTTGATTTACCCAGCTATAAAATGATGATTTCCATAGTTCTTTGTATGTTTACCAGAGGGTAATGCGCCATGAATTCACCATGAATCTGGGTGATTAGCCATGAGTCATGAATTTGTGCTAGCCGGGTGAATGGCTGATAATCCACGAATCCATTTGGTAAATTAACAGTTTGACCCTGAAAATACCTGAAAATACCTGAAAACAATCTATTTGACTAGTGGAAAACTCATATTTTCCCCTATTTGGCCGGGTCAAAGTGCTAATCTACCTTTAGGGCCTTTAGGGTAATGCTTGAGAATCCACTACTTCATGGCTAATCCACCAACGGTGAATTCATGGTCTTCATTCGTGGTTAATCAATGGCTGATGGTCTGTTGGTACAGGGTGAGGCTTTTCGCAGATGGAGTTGTTTCAGGAGGAACAACAAACATAGGTCCAAGGAAAAGATCCCCTTTTTGTTTTTTTCAGCTGATATTATCTTATTGGTGTTTCTTTGTTCCAAATCTTTTGATGGGAGATCGGAAATAGGGGGTATAAAGCCGTAGGGTTCTCGTGTCGGAAGGGTTGAGGCGTGATGTGATGGTTTGTTGGTCAGAACCGATGGGTGTTTTACCCAACAAAATATGGATGGTTCGCCAAAATGATTTGAACATGGGGATTTATACAGTAGTTGATTTTGTTCCAGGTGCAAAGATGTTTTGGGTGGAAAATGCATAACTTTGGCATGGAAAAGTAATGACCCATGGGATTATGATATTGCTGATATTTCATGATGTTATTTCATGGGCATAGAAAAAAACATAGTCGAAGGAAGTTTGGAAGTCAAACTTCCGACAATATGGAGAGATGAAAAAGCAGTCAGCAGGGAGAAGAGTCAGAAGAGAAAAGATCAGAAGAAAAGAAGATGCAGGTGCGCGAAAAGGTAGGAAAGTCGCGAAACACTGTGTTTTTTCGTGGTTTTGTGGCTCCGGAGGGTTGAAAAGTAGGCTCGCTAAAGCGGCGGGTGCGGAGACATCTGGGGAGATGAGAGATGAAAAGTTGCACGCCGTTGTGGCGCGAAGCCGATTTCGAAGTGAAAAGGTACAAAACACCTCAGCGTCGGACCACTTTTGGAAGTTGAGATGTTGAAAAAGTGCACGGCGTTGTGGCGCGAAGCAGATTTGGAAGTAAAATGTGTTAAAAACTAAGGGGTTCGGAGCAGTTTTGGAAGTTGAGATGACGAAAAAGTGCACGGCGTTGTGGCGCGAAGCACATTTGGAAGTAAAAAAAATTAAAAAATGAGGGTCTCGGAGCACTTTTGGAAGTTGAGATGTCGAAAAAGTGCACGCCGTTGTGGCGTGAAGCACATTTTGAAGTGAAAATGTACAAAACAGCTGGGTCTCGGAGCACTTTTGGAAGTTGAGATGTCGAAAAAGTGCACGCCGTTGTGGCGCAAAGCACATTTCGAAGTGAAAAGTGTTAAAAACTGAGGGTCTCGGAGCACTTTTGGAAGTTGAGATGTCGAAAAAGTGCACGCCGTTGTGGCGCGAAGCACATTTGGAAGTCAAAAGTGTTAAAAACTGGCGGTCTCGGAGCACTTTTGGAAGTTCTGATGTCGAAAAAGTGCACGCCGTTGTGGCGCGAAGCACATTTGGAAGTCAAAAGTGTTAGAAACTGAGGGTCGCGGAGCACTTTTGGAAGTTCTGATGTCGAAAAAGTGCACGCCGTTGTGGCGCAAAGCACATTTTGAAGTGAAAATGTACAAAACAGCTGGGTCTCGGAGCACTTTTGGAAGTTGAGATGTCGAAAAAGTGCACGCCGTTGTGGCGCAAAACACATTTCGAAGTCAACATGTTAAAAACACCAGGAGTCCGGAGCACTTTTGGAGGTTCAGATGTCGCTTGCTTCGCTTCACTACACTACAATACATTACACTACACTACACTACACTACATTTCACTACACTCCACAACACTACAACTACAACTACACTCCACTACACTCCACTACACTCCACTACACTAAATTACACTACACTACATTACACTACACTACACTCCACTACACTACACTACGTTACGCTACACTACGCTCCACTACACTACAACTACAACTACAACTACACTCCACTACACTCCACTACACTCCACTACACTCTACTACACTAAATTACACTACACTACACTACATTACACTACATTGATAGATAGATGGATGGATAGATAGATAGATAGATAATTAGATGAAAGAGAGAGAGAGAGATATAGATCGATAGATAGATAGATACATAGAAGATAGATAGGTAGGTAGGTAGATAGTGAGAGAAAGAGCGAGAAAGAGTGGGAGACCTCAAGCACCTTTCGGTCCATCAGTGGATTCGCTCTGCCATCCCTGATTCACAACAACCAACCTCTCCTATAGGTTTCCTATTTTTGAAACTTCCGCCACCGCCTTGTGCGGTACTACTGGTATTATTTTTGGTTGGCGCCCCGCGGGAACAGAAATAGACATGTGTTCTTTCCAGCAAGGTTGATTTGCCACTTAGTTGGCTCTCAGGAGGTTTTTCCTCGTATATTTGTGGGTTTTTTGCTGTTCTTTTCCCCTCATATTTTTTGAAACGGGCACCGTTTCAGGCTTCTGATCGAAACGCTCAACTGGGGGTCCTTCGTGACCTACATGGGCACGATGACTTTCGATCAACACGGCCGGCGGCAGATTCAATCCAGGTGAGGCGATCTTTCGTCTCTTAGCGGTTTCGCAAAGCCTTGCGATGGGGGAGTAACCATGAAAAACATATCTGGTTGGTGGTTTGGAACATGAATTTTATTTTCCATTTCATATATGGGATGTCATCATTCCCATTGACTCATATTTTTCAGAGGGGTTTAAATCACCAACCATAAAAAACAGATGGTAAAAAAATATAAAAAGCAAGTGGATAGCTGATTTGTTTCCGATCCAATGGAGAGGGTATAGACACTAATACTAACTCGTGTTCAAAAAACATGTGGGGTATCTTGGATTCTTCAAAAATGGTGATGTTTCAATGGCAAATTGGAACTGACCAAAATTCATATTTCGCCAACCAAGTTGGCTATTTCCTGGAACGGATCCTATCAAACTAGGAATTTTATCCACCATTTTGGCGGTTGAATCCACCAAATTCAGAACTTGTGATTTTGAGTCGAAATTGGGAATTGAACCCAAAACGGAGATATCGTTTTCTCACATGCAGAATTTGACCATCAAAAAAATCGGTCGTGTTTACCAAAGTGGGGATTGAACTCACCACATATAAACCAAGCAAAATAGAGGTCACCAATGGAACCCCCATGGTTGGGGGATTCAACCAGCAAAACTCGCGTCCACGAGTCGTCAGGCACGAAGTGGGCATGAGGCAGTACTGGCCACTCCCGGGCATCAACAACATGAGAGCCCGGGACTTCGAAACTAATGGAGGGAGCTGCTGGGAGAAATGGGGAGCCAAGAAGCTACCAAGAGTTTCAGAATTAGCAGTCTCGGGCTTGAGATTTGAGTGACATTTGATCATTTGATGTTCCACATTTAACATCAACTTTCTCTCATGGTGACCTAAGCTTAGCCATGAACATTGAGATCGAAACCAACACATGTGTATTGATTTTGAACAGCCAAAGCAAGACCAGATTTTGCTTGACTGTCCAACATTACATATCGCTGCCTGATCGGGCCAAACCACAGCGAAATTAGATCCCGAAAATGCTTTCAACCCCGGCTCAGAGCGGATTGATGAAATATTTGACTTCGATCAGCAGATGGTGATTTCAAAGATCTTTAATTTCAATATACCGCACGCATTTCCTTGTTAAAAAACACATTGAATCCCACGTTTTGCAGTCACGGCTTCCACTCCTGGAATATAGCATTGCAGCAAAACATGACCACGTACGACAGGAAATCTAACAAGCATTGGTGGTGTTCCATTACAATGTTTGGTTCCTGGAGTTAAGTTTCTGCATGACTGAAGTTTTTTTAGATGGATTAAGTTGCCATATACTTAGGTTTGGACTGTTTTCGAGGCGAACAACACATATAAAGCGTGTTTGCAAAGCGCAGATATCAACATTCGATGCTTTTGTCCTGCAGGAAAGCCTCAGAGTTTGATGATTGACCAGGGTTTCCGTGGATGTTCCAATCTTCGCAACGCAAAGTCCAGTTTGCTGAAAATGAGTTGGGGATGAGTTAAAACCTATGAAATTATCACATGACTTGGGGAATAAATATCCATTGAACAGCTATTAAACAGCTATTACAATATTTTTGATAGCCATTTGTGTAAGATTGGCAAACCATATCTACATAGTGAAACTTGTATTTTATGATGTTTATGTATATACCACAATTTTACGATTGAATTATGATGTTTGTTTTTGTGTATACAAGTGAAAGGGTATGTGTGAAGGTGTATGTATATATATATATATACATACATGACATAAATATATATATAGAGATGTTGTATATAATTAGTATGGATACATTTATATGTATATACATACATACATACATACATACATACATACATACATACCTACATACCTACATACCTACATACCTACATACCTACATACCTACATACCTACATACCTACATACCTACATACCTACATACCTACATACCTACATTCCTACATTCCTACATACCTACATACATCCATCCATCCATCCATCCATCCATACATACATACATACACGTACAAGTGTATAGACTGTGTATAGACATGCATACGTATGCATACATACGTGAGTCATACATGTCATACATGCATATGCAAACATATGTATATACATGCAACATAAAACAATGCATGACTGTATGCACGCATAAATTAATATATTATTAAATTTATATGTGTATTTATATATATATATCAGCTACATAGCTAATTGTATTGTATACGGTACATACCTACTCACAGTCGATTATAATAGATAGATCGTGTGGGTTGGGTAGAAAGCTAAGGCCCCAAAAATGGCAGAGTGGAAGAACCCCATGCATTCCGTACGAGGTGATGCTTTCAGTGTGCCAGTGGTATACACCTGGATTTATCTTCAAGCCAGGCACATCTTTAGTCACTTGGCTGCAGATTGATACGGAGAGGTAGCAACAAGATTGGAGAAAACCATCAGCACGTTTGTTTTTTATTGTCAAATATGAAGATTAATTCAATTTTCAATGTTTTTTTTATTGGGCAAATCACATTGCATTCACATTTTTTCCGGGTTGCTTCAAGCCGTGAAAGGCAAATTGTTGCTGATTCCTCTGGAAGCTGGATGTATTTGGGCTGTTGGGAGCAAACTTATCCAGATTTGTGACTACTTGGGGGTGCATCCTAATCAGAAAGTGTGTAGTACCGGTAACCATATTACGGGTGCATTAGATGATGTGTATTAATCAAAAGTATAGGCGGTCAGAAATCACTTACTATCTGGGATGGACATACAAGTATCAAGAAATGATAAGATATTTCTAGACCGACAACAGCTGGGATGGAAATGTTCGCCAGTTTCTGTACATTTTTGTTGGTGCGTCAGAGTATTACCAGACAAAAAACACTTCTCAATGTGATATTCTGTGTAGATTTCATGAACAAAGTTGGAGATATGAGCCGCAACTGTAGTTGACCTGTTTCATAGGGGAGTGCTTGGCTGTAATGTCCATGCGGACTAAGAAGGAGGTTGAAGGTAAATTGTTTGCACAGGAAAATATTTCAAGAATAGGTTCCCTCATAGTTGCATGCTTCCTGCTCAAGAATTCCGTTGTTTTGGTTTTGGAAAAGCAGATACCCTTTGGTATTTAAACATCGCTACGGAAAGATTGCCATGTTTTAAAGGGTAAATCATTTATACATGGGCCGTTTTTCGTAGCTATTCTGTTTTGCTGTCTCCCCTCGCAAGTTGATTGTCCCTTCATATTGTCCCCCAAGCTACACACCAGGGTTTGCGGGTTCAAATATAACCCCTTCCCCCTAATATTGAATACCCCCCCAAGACAAGCCCGTGGTGTAGCACGGGATTTGTTGATTTGGGAATGGGATTATACCCGTTAGAAGGCTGGTTATAACACCATTATGGTTGGTCCAAGCCCCCTTTTGGTTTATCTAATTCTCCCAGAAAAAAACACCACTGTTCTGGGGTTAGTCATATAATCACTATGTTCTTTTGAAGTCATCCTAGTACCCGAGAAAAAAACAATGCTAAAGGGGGATGATTGCCGCTTGGCTCTGCTTGGGGCGCTGAGGTATGTTTCGCCACTTGGTGTTGATCAATGGATGGTGGTTTTGGCATTTACCCATAGAATATCAGAAGATACATACCATATATACTTGGGGGTGTCCATTCATATATGGTACCTCAAAATGGATGGTTTATAATGGAAAGTCCTATTAAAATGGATGAAAAATAGGGTACCCCTATTTTAGGAAACTTCCACTTCCAGATGATACGTCACAAGCAATTTTAGCCACGAAGCGCCTGAATCTGGACCATTTTTTGGGACTTGCCCAAGATTGGACATTGATTTTACCCGCTGGTTATTTAACGTAGCTGTGGACAGTCACCATGTTTAATTATAATAGGCATTAAGAATCAATGTAAATCATAATTTTTATCATCTACAAATGAGCCATTTTGAAAATAATTATCTTAAATAACTAAAGGATATCCCAGCAAAATTCAGCAAAAAATGTGGGCTACAAAAATGATATGTTTGGAATGAGTCCAAGCCAAGCCAAGCGCAGCTTGGACGACTCGGACCTAGGTATTTCAATGACATAATATGGAAATCCATTAGCTTCATGAGCTCGCCTAAAAAAATGATCCAAAAATGATGGTTTCCCACGAATTTACTGAGTAGTCATTCAGTTCTTGGGGATCTAAGTTTCAATCCCCTTTCTTTTTCTGGTTCAGTGCCTGTCTTTCATGTTTCACTCAAAAAATGTTCGATACCCTTCGGTAATCAAACATTGCACTCTACATGTGTTTCCTATATGTCCCTACTAGTTAAAACCTCCACCACGTACGGGGGATTCCCAGCAGCCCGCTATATGTTTTGTCATCGGACACCAGAGTACATTTTTCAAAATCCGGCAGCCAAATGACTATCCCATTAGATTCTTATTGTATCGCCATTGTAGCACCATTTTTGTTGCTCAAAATCCCACAACCAAGGAGAGTTTGATGGGAACCAAGTATTGGCTCCATACTATTTGCCCGTGCTCGCGGACAAGAGCAGCGCGACCTACCCATGTCCTCCCGGTTGCATAGCAACTGGGCCGATCCGACTGGTTTTGGACCATGGGATTTTCGCGGAATTCCAAAGCACAAAAGGGCCCCAAAGCACCCGTGAACCATGGCAGGATGAGCGCAGTTGAGCTTCATTTCTGGGATTTTTTGACATGTGCTGAAACAGAAACTATGTACAGTCACCGACAGAATTTTGGAAATGAAAAAAGGTTCGCGCGCCGCAGGTATCGGAAAAGGTTCGGGACCGAAACCAAGACAAAAGATTAGCGACATTACGGACTTTCAAAAAAAAAAATGGAAATAGCAATTTTCGGATCCTGATCCTCTAAAAAGGAAAAAAGGATGAGACAAATGTCTACAAAAGCCTCTAATCCACTAATTTTGGAAATCTTACTTATCGGATCCTGATCCTTCAAACTACCTGGTTTTGATTGTTTTTGGGACCCT